CGAGAGAATGCGATATGTTTTTTTTTTTTTTTCGGCAACGGGGAAATCTTACGCTAAGGGTTATAGGAAAGAGAATGATATTAAAGAGGGATTATCACCAGAGAGGATTAAAGTAAAGCCAAAAGAAAGCTATAAACTTGGTCCAGAGAAGCAGGCTTCAACAGTGTCAAATAGAGGCAAAATAAACTCTCCTCAGAAAAATTTCGCATGTTACAAATGCGGGTCAAGAGAACATTTTAAGCGTGATTGCCCTCAAAATAAAAATACGAAGGACAAATTTGCGAAAGTGAACAGAGCAAGTGCAGTAGATAGTGGAGAGGTTATCGAAACTCAAGAGAACAGAGTTATTGTTGCCAAAGCGGGACATTTTGGAAAGGAAATTTCTAGACAATCAATCGAAGAGGAGTTATGCAAATTGGATAGAGTGCAGGTTAGTGTAAAACGGTCGGATAAGTAACGGATTAATCGATTCTGGCAGTGAGATAACGGTTGTAAAGGAAAGTATAATAATTCCAAATTTTAGATCTGGAAGCGGATCGGCAATTTATTTGAAGGGGATTTTTGGACCGCCGAGAAGGTGTGAGTTAGTAAAATTACCTTTAGCACTAATTAATGGAAAGGGTACAAATGTGCATCAGGAGATACTTTGCGCGGTGGTGGCGAAATCTTTAGTTGAAGATGTTTTATTACCCCCACAGGTGTTATATATGTTACGGGGCGAAAACACTTGTAAAGATCGACAGTTCAAAGGAGAAGGAAGTAGCAGTGGTTTGTTCTACGAATCGAAGGATTCCTCGAACGTGGGAGAGGCAGAAACACCTCAGGGTAAGTTAGAAACGGACATTCAAAGCCACGTAGCTGCTATCCCAGATGTTGGAGCGCCCTTAGTGGAGAAAACAACTAATTTATCTCAGACAACGGAGTTTCGTCAGCAACAAAAAAAAGAATGCACTGACTTATCTAAGATGTGGGAAAGAGCGAAAACGGATAAAGGAAATTATTTTGGGAGTGGGGGGACAAGATTTTGGGGACAGAGTGCAGAGCAGCAATTAGTTGTTCCTAAATGCAGAAGGAATGAAATTCTAGAGCTCGCGCATGCATCAGTGTTTGGAGGACACATGGGAATTAAAAAAAAAACATTAGAGAGGATTCGTTATTTCTTTTATTGGGAAAACGTGAAAAGAGATGTCCAGGAATTTTGCGAATCATGTGAAAGTTGTCAATTAACAAAGCCAGTGAAAGTGAAGGACAGAGCGCCAATTACTCCAGTAGCAAGACCAGGGTTACCTTTTCAGGTTGTCAATGTAGATTTAATCGGACCTATAGATCCTCCTAGTTCGAAGGGGCATAAATATATTTTGTGCTTGGTGGACCAGCATACTAGATGGGCCGAGGCAGTGCCATTAACCAGTCTGACGGCAAAAACTACCTGCGACGCGTTGCTGCAGATTTTCTCCAGGACCGGAATTCCTAATGTGATTGCGTCAGATAATGGTACCAATTTTAACGCAGACTTAACACGGGAATTTGAGAAAAGATTAGGATCCAGTCCGAGATTTTCGACACCCATGTACCCTCAGTCAAATGGTTTAGTCGAAAGGTTTAATCAGACTTTGAAACGTATGTTGCATCATATTATTAGAGAGGAAGGTCGAGCTTGGCATGTCCAAATACCTTACGCATTATGGGCATACAGGGAAATACCTAACAGTACTACAGGGGTATCACCTTTCCAACTATTGTATGGTAGACCCCCACAAGGACCGTTATCTATTTTAAAATCTACATGGTTAGGGGAGCATGACGAATTAAAATTCGATCTGAAGCCAATTCATAAATATTTGCAAGATTTGAAGGAGCGGTTGAAACGTGCTGCTGAGCAAGCTGATCTTACGAGTGAAATCCAACAAGGTAGGATGGCGCAGTATTATAATTTGCGCTCTTCGAGTAAAACTTTTGAAATAGGAGATAGGGTTGTAGTCCTCATACCTGATTCAAGCAACAGGTTATATGCTCGTTGGCAGGGTCCTGCAGTGATAAAGGAAAGAAAAAACCCACACTCTTTTTTAGTAGAATTGGCTGACGGGAGCATTAAGCATGTACATCAAAATAAAATAAGGAAATTCATTGTGCGGTCAAATGCAATCAATGTAATGTTTGACGGGGAAGAGTTCGGGGAGGTAGACAATATTCCCTCTACTTTAGACCAGGATAGTAGTTTTGAAAGTATGTTAAATAATCTAAGTACCACTAATCTTAACAACAAGCAGATTAATGATCTAAAACTACTGTTGGGAAAGTACAAGAACTTATTTTTGAGACATGTTCAACCTGCTAGAGTAGAACAACATAAGACTGATATTATGCCTGGAGCAGACAGAAAAAAAACCTCATTGTTATGGCATTCCAATGGCTTATCACAAAGAGGTGGACAAACAAGTCAAGGAACTTCTAGAGCTGGGTCTCATTGAACCGTCGGAAGCGGACATAGCCCATCCGGTTGTGTGTGTGGTCAAGAAAGACGCGACAATCAGGATGTGCGTTGATTTCAGGGCATTGAATTCGATCACTAAAGTGCCGGCATTTCCTATGAAGGATATGCATGAATTAATATATGTGGCTGGGCATTCAAAATGGCTATCAAGTTTAGATATGCGCAGAGGATACTGGCAAATCGGAATGGAGGAATCAAGTAAACCACAGCGTTTTCAACTCACAACGGGACGTTTCAGTGGAACGTCATGCCGTTTGGTTTGGCAGGAGCGTCAGGTACCTTTCAAAGAGAAATGAATAAGGTTCTTTTCCAGGTACAGCGATTTCGCCCAAGCATATATAGACGATATTATAATTTTTTCAAACACGTTTGAAGAACACCTGAAGCATCTAGAAACGATCCTTAAGATACTGGAACAGTTAAAATTTTCTGTCAGGCTCAGTAAGTGTGATTTTGCAGCTAAGGAAATAGATTACCTAGGACATAAGATAGGAAACGGCAAACACGGCCCAGATCCTAGTAAGATTGCAGCAATTAAAGTGCTAGAAAGGCCCACGAATAAAAAGGGAGTCCGTTCGGTATTGGGTCTCATGGGATTTTATCGCACATATATCCCGAACTATGCCGAGATAGCTGGACCTTTGACGGATTTGACGAAAAAGAATGCGCCGAATAATGTACGGTGGGGTCAAGTTGAAGACGCGGCTTTCCAGGAAGTTGAAAGATATGCTGTGTCAGGTGACGTCTCTGTCCACCACGCCTGACTTTAATTTACCATTTCAGGTGCATTCGATGCATCAGATGTCGGCCGTCGGTTGTTGTCTAACTCAGAGAGATGCACAAGGGCATTTTAAACCAATAGCTTTTGCATCCCAAAAATTTTCTGGGGCTCAGAAGAATTGGGCAGCCATAGAAAAGGAGGCCTGGGCAGTGTTTATTCGGGCTCAAGAAATTTGATAAGTGGATTTTCGGGGGGACGGTGGAAATCATTACGGACCATAATCCTTTGAAATATCTCACTGAAATTACACCTAGGAGTCCAAAATTAACGCGTTGGGCTCTCTCTTTGCAAAGATGGAATTTAAAAATCACTTATCGTCCAGGAGTACAACATCGAGCCGCAGATGCATTGTCACGATTGGTGTGAATAATAGTAATATTTTTTTTTTAAAAAAAAAGGGGGGAACCACAGATATTCAGAGGTTCTTAATTCTTGTCCTTAAAATACTTTTCGAGATAACTTGTTTAAATGATGTTGGTAAACAAAAAAATGTTTGTCTAATGTAGAATGTATTTATGCAGTTATGTTTAGTGTAATATTTGTATTTGTTAAACAAAAAAACATGGTAAGAAGACTTTTGTATCCTGATCAGATTTTGGTTTCTAAGTACCCCCCCCCCCCTGCACCTGGTCGGGTAGGGGCTGAAAAATTTCAGTATCCATGTCAGCCATCAGGAACTTTGACATTTTGTATGAAATCAAGTGTGTCAACTAATAAACCTCTGAACTCTGATTCTGACGAATTCGGAATTGCTTAGGATGAACGCTGGGTTTTGTATCTAATGAACTCTACATTATTTCTAATGAACGCTGAACGGTTCGGTTGAACCTGTTGTGAAAATTAGCCTTTAAGAGGCAAATCTTCATCTTGGTGGGGGCGTGTAATGCCCATAACCCGAGAAGGAGAAGGAAAAGCCTAGCCAGCGGAATAATTAGTCCGACGGAGCAGGTGGTTCGTTGGACGGAAGTAGAAAGGACAAACAAGAAGACGAGGGGGGCGAAGAGGACTTTGCACCCTGGTTGTCGGACGGGACGGTCGGAGTTTTTTTTTGGGCGGAGGAGAGTCGCCATTTTCTTCTGTGATGCAGAGATTGTTTTTCTCATCCGGCGGAGACCATGCCGGACTTACCTATTCATGCTTGTACATATAATGTATAATAATCAAGAATTGTTTACTTATTAAAGTTTATTGTTAAACAAACAAAAAATGGGTGTCATCTATGTGTCGATCGACGGTGACATGTGTGAAGCAACTGAACCCTACGCTACGGTTTAACACAACGATGCTTATCTGTCTCGGCACGACTACCACAGTCACTACAATACCTTCAGCCCATAAGATGCACAGGCTGATTTTATGGCTCATTCTGGAGTAAAGAAAGTGCATCTTATGGGTCAGAATATATGGAAAATATTATATTTGTTATCTAACATATGTAATACATAAAAGGAATAACTTATAACATATATGTAAAAGGTCATATAAATAAACTTACTAGGAATAACGTATAATGTATATATAAATTTATAACTAACTTTATAACATATATATATAACAACTTATAACGTATATATAAAAGGAATAACTTCTTTAATAGCAGTTTAGTTTCTGTATATATATTATTTATAGCATGAACTGTGAAATTACACTTAAAATTGTTAAAATTTTATTTCAGATTTTAAATAAAGTTGCCACATTTCCTTTGACAATAGTGAAAGACCTTACCATAGTAATTGGTGCTTTATGTTGATCATCTGGTTGATCACTAACAAAACATTGTGTAGTTCGAACATCATATAATCGCACTAAAAAATAAATAAGTCAGCTAAATATGAAATATGGTCAATCAAAAAGTCAAAAAAGCTTACTTTTTTAGAAAAAAAAAAGAAAAAAACAAACTTACAGACAGGATGCTGAGTTCCTACTAATATAAAGTCACCAGATGGATGTAAAGATAAGCATCTAACCATTTCAGCTTCCTACAGGAGGAAAAAAAAAAAAAAAAATTTGTTTTATTACAGCAAAAATAAAAATAATTCGTTTGGTTTGGTCAAATGAGAAGGTTAAGACAGTGCTAAAAATCTCCTCTTCACTAAGCTACAGCATAGCTAATCATTTTCAAATTTAGTTATAAGCTTACTGGATGTTACAGAAGAGAAACAGATACATAACTTATGTGGCCAGAAATGACTGCCTACAATTATGTAGGATGGCAATGATTCACTGCCAGTTTGGAAGACAAGTATTGGATAAGTATGCAGCCTGAAAAGAGAGTTTTGAACTGCAAAATTATTCAATAATAGAACAATGTAAGATCATATATCTTTTACCACCCACATTCAAAAAACTGATTCATATTTATGATTGAATGTTCACCATTTTGAGGAAATTATGTTTTATGGAAAGCTGCCACTAAGTGGAACATAGATTTATTTCAAGATTTAGGGGGGGGGAATCACTGAAAGATGCCAAATTTCTTTAGTCTCTTGCTTAGACAGATGTAAAGAACATTATTTCACGTGGCTGTTGGCATAAATTATAGCTTATCATGTTTATAGGAGACAAGTTAACTGGTTTTAAAACATATCTGGCACACATGCATGGCAGAAAACTTGGATTTAGTTACATGTTGGAGAACGTTAGTATTAGTGGAGAGGAAATGCAAGCTTGGGTGGAAGTCAATAATTCAGTTTCTCACAGTTCTCACTGTCAAGATAATGAAGATATAATCAGACATGTACCTGGAAAGGAGAATGATGAAAACAACACTACAGAGCAAGAAAGTTATGTAGAAGAAAACTGATGAAGGGTTATGGACTTCCATAAAATTTGCTGAGAAATGCTCATTAGTCCAATGCATGATGTTTTGAAACTTCTTTGAATATTCAGCAAATGTTTTAAATTAGTGACAATCTTGTAAGCAGGAAGACATTGAAGTTATGTACCAGAAGTTTTAACCACCCTTTCTGGAAAGCAGGAGCTGCATGTTAGGGTTCATGAAATTTCAAGAGCTGCAACTAGATTTTATAAAGTACAGAATTTCCTGTTTACATTGTTTTGAAAAACAATAAAGCAGATTTTCATGAAAAGAAATGTTTGAGGTAAATTTATGAGAATTTCACTTCTTTTGTGTAATTACGATAAATTGGCTCATATATACACTCTTTAAGAAAGGAGCTATTAGCTTCAAGTTTTTCAAGAAAGGAGCTTATTAAGTCATTAGCATTTTAAAGATTCTGTATGAAAATAACAATTTAGTATTTATCATACAATTAATGTGAGGACCAACATACTGAGATTAAAACTACTCTAAAAATTTAATTTCATTCCTTAGATGTGAATTAGACAGTCAGCTGCATTTTATTTTGCCTAATCTTCAAAAAGATTTGAATTTCAAAGCTCCAATCTTGGCACTATTTTCATTTTATTTACTATTCTAATTTAAGAAATCGCATAATGTTTTAAATACAAAATTTTGAAAAGTTAGCCTTATTGGTTTAGTTAAAAAAAAAGTAATTGTAGCAATTTCAGAGCTATTTGAATCACAGCTTTGTGTTTAGTTTAAAAAAAAAAAAAGTAATTGTAGCAATTTCAGAGCTATTTGAATTACAGCCTTGTGTTCCACATTGGTTTAGTATGCCACCCAAAGAAATCTCCCAAAATTTTCACTCCAGTACTCAGTGTGTTACTTTACATCAAAAATTCTTAAAATAAATTTTCGAATCGTCTCGATATTTTTGGTTGTAGAAAATCTTTTACAAATAAATTTTGGATATTTCTAAGACCTTTTGGTACATAAACGCTACTTTGTGAACTTGATTCCTGTTGTCTACCAGTCGGAAGATTCAGTTATGTTTCTGAAATTTAAACTATTAATTAAAATCTAAGCTCAAATACATTTATCAAACTATAAAATGAGAATTCTTAATATAGTTTCAAGAGTTTACTTACTATATCATTTACTAAATTTCATCCTTTTAATAAATGCAAGTTTATTTTTCAAAAATGCACTTTCATATTTGTTTTTTTATTTAACTCAGCTTTTTAATTTTGCTTTTTTTACAAAATGTTCAATATTTTTTCAAAGTTTCTTTCATTCTTCATCTTCTATTTTTATTTGAAGGATTAAAGAGACCAGATATTCGAAAATCTTTCTCGATTCGGATTCAAATCCAAAGAAATTTAAGACTTGACCTATCTTTAGTTTTTTCAATGCAAATGAAAAATTATTTAATACATGTCATATTGCTCTGTAATATTTTAGATTCATCAGTGTAAAAGCCAATGTGTATAGGTTCATTTAAAGCAAACTGAAGAATGCAATCAGAATGACCCCCCCCAATATCAACTTGGTTATGAAAATGCCTACTAGGGCAATAAAACGAAGTTTCATGAGTTAAGTGTAACTGAAAGGTGGAAAGGATGTGATGATCAGCTATGCAAAAGAAAATTCTCCCCAATATTCCTACCGAAACTTTTTACAGAAAGCGTTTTTCAGATAGTTATCTGAATTGAGCTTTAATATGAAGATAGGCATTTTCTAACATATTATGGAAAATTTAATTGATATATACATCCGTGCTGTAAGTTGAATGCCAATATTATGAATATTATTTGAGTCCACTTTGCTTCAAAGCATATGAAATAACTACCAATTAATGATCCCATAAAATTTTTAATGAAAACAAAACAGGAAGAAAGATTTCAAGTATAATGAAGTATAATGAATATTATGTTAGCTGAAGAACGAAGAATTTTGGTGTTTGTGTATAATGAATATAATTTTTTTATATTTAAATTATTTTTCCTTTTACTTAATGTTTATAAACTATGTTGCATCTTTTGGTATAAAATTATCATATGCAGAATATTAGGATTCGAGTCCTGGCAAGGGCACTACACAATTTTCACGTCTCCTGCTTCGAGGGGGGGGGAACCTAATGACTCTATAAAATGAAGATTCAAATCACGGTGAATCAAAATGAAAAATATTCATTTGGTTGGGTTACTGATCACAGCATTTTAATATTCCTTGGCTTGCCTATTGTCAGTACTATATATTTGTTTATCAAGAATGGCAATATATTAAGAATTACCCAAATTTTTCCTTTCAATACCTCAGTTTATGCTCTGTACACAGTACAAAATTTATAAGATATCATGGTTAGAGAAGGATTTTGAGAATTAATAGTAAGAAACCTTAAATTTCAGGCTCTACTTAAATTTCTTAAATTTCAGCTACACAGCCTTACAATGAACATATATTTATGTACAGGCTAGCTAAAATCTATACACACAGAAGACCCATGGGCAATTATTCAGACACGAGAATTTCTGACCACTTATCCTAACACATCTAATACATAGATACAAAAGACTATATAATGAGATTAAACTAATTTAAAATAGTGGTTTATATCTGGTATGGCTACAACAAAAGATAATTTTACAAGGAATTCTAGCACTAAGTGATACTGAACTGGGGAACACATTGTTACAAGCACTTATTCATATTATATAATGCATTCTGCTTTGAATGCCATTTTAATACAGAACAAAGTCTTTAATCCGAACCTCAAAGCTACAAACTTTATGCAAATGTGTAAACACATGTATGTTTAATGCACGCATCTGCTACGCATGTGCATAAAGAGAAGAGACACTGTTTATAGAGAGAGACTGTTTATAGAAGAGAGAATTAAAGAGAAAGTATTAGCACAAAAAATGAAGCAACTTAAACAACTTATATTGAAAGAAATGTTTAATAAAGTAAACAAATAAATATTAAGCTTTTTTTTTTTTTTTTTTTTTTTTTTTTTTTGTAAATTTTGATACCCTTTACATCATAATTGCTCTTTATTTCATAAATTATGGTTTCATATTTTTAATTGTATAATTTCTGCATACCATCTCACATTTAGTTAGTTAGTAGTTCTTATATTTTTATGTTCAGACCACAAGTGGTTGGTCTTTGTATCCCGAAGTACAGCAGTGTCTGTAATATCATGGCGAATAAAGGGTAGTTAAATCCTTTGCATCTTAGTCATCTATTTTAGAATTCCACAGAACATAGCTTCCAGTAAGCTCACTGTTCCCTTTCAGGACACATCATGTTCACGAAGCATATTAGGAGGAATAGTAGTACTGATAAAATAAGTATTGAATTATTTTTTGCATTTAAAAAAATATTTAGTGCTGATAAGGAAACTTTGAACATCATATACTTAAGTAAAAATATTAAAAGGTAGCAATAGAAAATTACACAACAATCTATTGAGTAAAATTAAAACAGAACTTACATGAATTGTTCTAAAAGCACGCTTCACAGATGGTTTAGAAAAGTCAAAAAACTTTACAGTATAATCTCTACTTCCAGATACTAGAATCTGCTCAGTAGGATGGAACTCTAAACAAGTAACTTCCTAAATAAATTAAAAATTGAATTATGCAACCAAAATTATGTATTAACAATTTCAAATTTTATGCTATATATTAAAAAAATTAGAACTAATTTATGCACACTAAAGACACATTTTTTTAAATGTCTCTCTTGATAATAAAATATCAAATACCTGAAAATAAATTTAACAGTAAGATTTGCTTTTAATATGAACTTTAAGGAATAAAATATTATTATACCTCTATTTTTTAAAAATTTAATTCAATCTAGGATATTTTCAGTTTTCCCCAAATTTATAAATAAAGCGCTGGCTACTAAAAGTGCAGTACCACAATTATTATATAGCCACAATTATTAACAACCAGAATTTTTATAGCCACAATTATTAACAACAGGCAACTTAACAATATCATGATTAAATGATTACATAAAAGCTCAGTTCAGCCTGTGAATAGAAAAAAATCATTTATCTTTTACCATCATATACAGGTACACATAGAAATGGATCAGACACCAGAATTTCTCCAGAAAGCTAATTAAAATACACATACTTTTTTTTTGAATGAATAATGAATTATTTTTCCCTTAAATTTTTATTTAAAAAAAAGTAAGTCTGATTAGTGAAGCAATCTAGCTCTGAAAAAATTTGTAAATTAAAGATAATTACTTGAATATCAAAAAATATTTATTTACTTTTCAAAATGAGATAATATGTGAATGACTGACCAAACAGTTCTTTCAAATAATTAACAAAAAACATAAAAACAAAGCAATAATTAAGAACAATAGACAAATAATGTTATTGAAAACAATTGTGTCTTTGATTCTTAATCAGACATCAACAGCCCTGCCCCCCCCAAAAAAAAACTTTTACACATAACTGAATTTTGTTACATCTCAATATTAATTGATTGTAAAATTAAAAACATTCTATGAAATCAGTTTTTAATAATAATTTTTAAAAATTAAACTGTGAAACCGATAAAAAAAGTAAATTTTAAAATACTAAATTAAACTTTTTAGAATGCAGATACTTAAAGTAGGATTGGGGAGGGAGTTATTTTACTTTATTTCACATCTGCAATTCAACCATTATTTTAGGGAAGGGGGCTAAATAAATTCATTTTTGTAATTAAAATATGATGGTTTGGTTTATTTGATTATGGCAAAGCATGAGAGCTAACTGCCTAAAGGAAGGGATCCCTTCATGGAGGAATTCCTAAGGCAAACTGACTCATATCCATATTAACAATGAATTTTGCATTAATGTCAAAAATAATGAATTTATTTCAATAAATAATTTATAAAAATATCAAATTAATATTTTTGCTTTTAAAACTGACTTCAAATAATAAAGAAACTGATTTAATCAAATTAAAATGTTACAATTTGGATTAATATATTCCTATTAACTGATACTGAATCTTTAGTCACACCATATCAAAATGATTATTTTATATAGTAAGGTTTTATATTCTAAGAAATGATTAAAAACAGACCTCAATATGATCATATAGTGTCCGTATCACAGGATGAGTTTCCATATTCTGTTGAGTCGTTTCTTGAGCAGCAACATCAGCAGGCGTTGCACTTTTTGCCAACATACGATCTACATCCAAAATCTAGAATACAATCTGTTATGCCCTCTTGCCAGAACAACATTTTAAATTTAAGTTACAGACTTTAATACTTTTAATATCAGATCACAATATTTAATCAGATGAAGCACAATGAAAAGTTTTTTAGTAACAAAACAACTGAATAACAAATAAAAACAATTTAATTATATTAATATGTCATACTTTGATAGAAGCATCATGAGAACCAGTGGCAACAAGCTGACCTGAAATATAGATAGAAAATTTTTAATTCTATTTTTAAGAATTACTTAAGCATTTAGTAAAAACATTAACTGATTAATTTAGAACTCAAACAACAAAAATCAGCGCTAGGACTAGTTTCGATGGTTTTCATCGAACTATCGTCCTCAGCTGCCAAAGCGCATATGAACAAGATATAGTGATTAGATAAGATAAGAATGGCTGGACATGAGTTAAGCTACTGGCGAAATTTATTAATGAAACGAGAACTAAAACATAATTTCCTTAAAGGCTTAAGGCAACGATGGATTGGAATTAGGGTGGTTAATTAGAACAGAAAGATTTTTTTTTTAATACGAAATGTCTCTAGAAAATCTAATTACCCAATGGATGATTTTTGAATAATTTTGGCTACAGAAAACTTGAAAGTATGATTTTTGGACCAACAATGCTGGGCAACAGAGGATTTTTGTTTCCCTTTTTCTAACATATGCTTTTGCCTCACGTTCCTTAATGTGAAATTTTAAGGCTTTCTTAGCTTGACCAATGTAAATTAAACCAGAATGGCAAGAAATCCTGTGAATACTCCAGGAATATATATCCGGAATGGAGACCTTAAGTATGGAACTCGGAATTTTATTGATTGAAGAATAAACCACCCAAAAGTTAAACTTCTATAAAATACGTAGGAATTTTACTGATAGGAGAACAAATGAACTGAAAGTTAAATTTCTATAAACTATGTAATATAATGCTGATTTTTGTAGTTTGACTTCTAAATTAATACTTGTTCATAGTGTTATTTTATCTTAACATATACAACATAAATACATTAACTGATATTTAATCAGTTAATATATTTACCAAGTACTGAATAGGAAGACCTAAAGAAAGAAGATAAAAATGGTACATCTTAACATTTTCTTATGAAAGATTTAGAGCCATGTTCAATACCAAAAAGTTGAAGAGGAAAAAAAATCAGGTGCAAAGTCTCAAAAAGATAAGTCTAGTAACATGATTCATCTATTATCTTGAGTTCTTATAATATATGTTTTAATTTGTTTCCTTATATTATCTGTCCAACCTTTCCAAAAAATCAGAGATTAATTTTTCACCAATCTAAAACATGGAATACCACAGATATTTTCAAAATGACATCACACTAAGAATTACATGAAAGAGAAACAAATTAACAAAATTAAAAACGGATGAAGTATCCATATTAAAATATCCTTTTTCTTTCCTGTTCTTCTTCCTAGGTACATACTGACTTGTTCTCACTTAAAAAAAAAAAAAAAAATTAGAAAATAGCACAAATTTGGCAAATTCATTATCACAATCAAAACAGAAAAGCTGATATACCAGTTTCAGGCTGCACACTAACTGTAATTGTGTAACATTAGACATAGATAAAAGTAAGCAAAATGTGCCCTTTTATTACTTTACCAATAATAGCAAAAATAAAAATAAACATAAAAAGAAGTGCTTCATAACAAAAATATTCATAAAAGGAAGCAAAAATCTGAACGATATTTACATTTTTAAAGAATATATTTTCAATGGAATGTGAATTTCTGATGTTTCTAAAAAAATTAAACACTTTTCTTTCATTACTTGACGAACTCCACAGTTCCATTATGATTCCTTACCGGATGGGGGGGGGGATGCTCCCACTAATCAGCACAAACACATACCAGACGAATTAGAAATTTCAGAAACCAAAATCCATACTTGTATAATGAGTATGTGATCCACACCTGGATTGCCACATGTACACTTTTATGACATTATGGGTTGCCTATTCTGGTAACACACATCGTGCATTACCTGGTGATTTTTGTCAGCATTGAATGAATAATAAGAAATGATGCTTGAGGAAAAGCAAGAAAGCTGACTGTAGCAAACTAACTTTTCTCCTGATTAGCAGAGATATTTTTGCCACAGAATATCATTACCTGTAACAGTTTTAAATACTCTTAGATATTGTTTCAATGCCTACAACTAGCAAACTACATTTCAGTTATATCAAGATCTGTATATAATAAATCTAATATATATCTGTATATAATAAATAAAATAATCAAAACTGGAAGCACATGTTTGAAATGGAATGTTGAACATAGTGAAATGACTTGTTGGCATACCAGGGATGAAGGAGAATGAATTAGGCTGCATTGACTTTAAGTCAAGTTATTTATTAATTTAAGCATTTTTAAATGCATTCTCTCTTAATTTTTTAACTTGATGCAGCTCATTATTTTGTTCTGTGTTTAATCTCATTAATCTTATCAAAATTAAAAGCCTTAATAAGTGATAATAATTCCCTTTTACTCTTCCCTTGAAACTGTATATCCATCTTTCACATTCATTTACAAAATTGAAGGATTTTGGATATTAGTTTTAAAAAGTAAAATTTTTCTATTAATGAAGTGAACAAATACTAGATGAAAATTACATAACTGAAGTTTTCCACTGCAATGACAATGCCCCAAGCATCAGTCAGGTAAGAGAATGACCAAATATGATTAAATTAAGAAAATATCCACATTTGGCTTCGGAGTCACATTTTAATTTCATCACGTGATTACCCAAGCACAATCTTCCTTTGTGTAGAATGCCACTTATGAAGACAAATATAAGGTAATTACAAACTGCAAAAATCAATTTCATGCGGGAGGGGGAATCGTTATATAAAAAATTTGATTGCATCTAGAAATAAATTAAACTAAACTGGGGATGCCTGGTGCTAAGAAAATATGCAAATATATATATCACAAAATGATAGAAAATGGCTTTAATGGAAAGAATTTTTTTCTCTTAAAGTCTTCATTATAATGACAATGCTCAACCATCATATCATTTACCAAATGGTAACATCTGTAGCATGGTTTTAAACCCACTGATAATGAAAAACATGAAAAAGAGGCTCTTGAGATTGAAAAAATTTCAATAGATTACTTAGAGAAAATTCTCAACACAGCAACTAAAGACTGAATAATAGAATAAAAAAGAAGAAATTATGTTTCTGTAAAATTAAAGAGAAAGTATTAATAAATAAAGAAAATGAAGCTGCTTAAACAACTTGTAGAGTCATTGGAATATTTTTGAAGCAGAAGACATGAAAAAATTAGAAATGCCTTCAGCGGGTCTCGAACCCGGACCTTTCGAATACATGCCGAGTGTGCTAACTGTTACACCATGAAGGCATGCTGGAAGGAGGGAGAAAATACTTCATAAACTTATGTTCAAAGAAATGTTTAGTAAAAGAATTGAATTAATGATCTAAAACTGGAAATTACTGAAATCTCATATTCCAATGTCTTCACAATTCCTTGAATTTGGACTTTATACCTGCTCTTTTTTTACCGCTTAATGGTTAAATCAATAAATGCAAACTCAGCAAAACTATTCACCAAGCTAACAAATACTGTGATTTTTAAGTTTAAAAATGTATATTTTAGAAAATCAAATCAAATTTAAATATTAAAAAAAAATTCTGAACTTTCCTTCTGTTTTAAAACAACATAAACCCAAAACATTTTTTCCCAAAACGACATACATCCCAACTTGTTACTTTAAAGGGTGGGGGGAACTATCAGCTCATTTCAACTACAGATATGTTTTTTCTAAATGCAGAAACAAATCTTTTTATCTTACTCATTTCAACAAAAAATTAACAGAACAACATGCTTTAAAATCTTTTTGCTGACAATACTTATACTGAAAACATGAATACAGCTATAAGAGATAAGAATAACATATCTAATTTGACATCTGTCAATATGCAACATTGGCACATACATCTTTCTATAGAAAATTATTTGGCACACTGTTTCATTTTTATTGTTCTGTCAGTAAACAGCAGAGGCGGCTCTTGGCTAAAACTAGTGGGGGTGCTGTTCCAAAAAAATTTAACCTTTGTTTTAAAATTTTGTAAAAGGAATATAAAAAGAAAATTTATTTTGAAACTTCATGAAATCTTACAAGAAAAAAATTAAACATTTCTTAATTACTTTAACCAAAATTGTTACAGTTCAATCTTTGCCTATTTATTTAAATGAAATCCATTCCTCTTGTTTTAATTTGCACGAAAAGATCAATAATTTTCTCCTTGATCTCTGGATGGCTGCTGAGAAAATTTTTCTTTAAGTAATGCAAGCACATTTAGTCTTTTCGACTTCCAAGTGCTTCTTAGAAAAGTTTTTATTCTTTTCAATGTTGAAAAGCAGAGTTCTGCCTCTGATGTAGTCATGGGAACTGTCAAGAGAATTTTTATCAGTTTCATAATTTCACTAAGAACACCATCTAGATTATTTTCAAAGATAAATTTCAGTAGCTCAATTAATTTTTAGTACTTATGGATATCAGACCTACAATAGAATACTTTTTGTTCGGTTTCAAGCTTTTATTTGTCAATCATTGGATATGCTTCAGTGGTCAGTACTATTTCTTCTGTAGAATGTTCATTCCTAAAAAAGCATTTCTTGTTAAAAAATTTAGCAGCTGCTAAGTGCTTAGTGGAAGAATATCTGTGCATTATATCAATACATAGTATAAAGTCACATATTTCCTTAGTTTCTGCCATTAGTGTCTTTGAAAAATTCTCACAGTGCTTTGAGTTTCTTAAATCTAAAATAGCAGTTTTGAAATTTGTTATATATTCATTAACTTTGAACACACTAATTTCTCTGGATTGCATTTAGTTGCATATTATTTCAACATGAGGCATCTGATAAAAAAGCTCTAACCAAAACTTGAAATTATCATGATTTAGATATTTTAGAATTCCTGTTGCTTTTGTAATAGTTTGATCTGCATTTGATGTTAAGTGAATTTCAGTAAGGCAATTTTTTAAAAGTTGCAAATTTCATGAACTCTGTCTATGGTCCGTACGATAAAGTTCCACCTTATGGAGGAATACCACACGCGCGGAGTAAAAAGAAATCACGTTTTCACCAGCATGCCAGAAGTTCGGCACTGCAAAAACGACAGTGCTCTTCTCTCTACCCGGCTCACATGCTGTTTTCTGTGTGCGCATGTGCAGAACAGCCAAACACCATGTCGCTGGAACTGTGAAGCGCGCAGTTCCAAACAAAGACTTTCGTACCTTTTTCACAAAGTGGGGGATGGCTACTGACATTAAATTTAAGGATTATGTATTGTAAAAGTATAAAGAAAGAATTAAAGACTAAAGGGCACATTATATTAAATATTAAAAATAAGTGGAAATAAGGGGTGCTGCAGTTCCACAGTGCTTATTATGAGCCACCACTCGTAAACAGTTAAAATATATTCACAAATACATTACATTAATAATTAAAATTGTGCAATATTTTTAATTTAAAACTATATTTTGAAAACTAACATAAAGTAAATATATAACCAAAAAAAAAAAAAAAAAAAAAAAAAAAAAGCAATTTTCTGGAGGTGAGAAAGTAATTGATAGCAAGATGGAAAAAAACATTCATGTTTCAAAATTTTGATACAAAATTTTAATCATGAAAATTATTTATACATTAATTACATTAAACTAATTTCAGTTGTGGAAATATTGGCATTAGCAACAATTTTTAATGTCTGTTAGGATAGCAAATGCTTTAGATTTCTTTCTTTCTTTTTTTTTTTTTTTTTATAGCCAGGCACTTTATTTAATAGCCACTACAAGGGCCAGAAGTGGTGGCCATTTTATTATGGAAGCACCTAATAGGTGGCCACTGTTGCCTCCTATGAAGGGACAGATAGTTACAACCATGCCTTCTCCGGCAGTCAGGGTTACTAAGCTGGGCGGTGCTTTAGATTTCTAACAAGACAGAATCTGCTCTTACAAACATGAAAACTGTACAATCACAAATTGATTTAAAAGAAAATTTTAATTATAAATGAAATTCAATTATTCTGATTTAACCATAGCATCACCATTATTTACCTGATTTCCAATGCCACATCATGGTTTTTTTGAGATGTGTGGTACAATGTTGCTGAATATAATGCATGGCATATTCACCTACTGATATTAAATTCTAAACTTTAATCACCCCCTTATCAAATTAATGTGTATAATTTATCCTTTTACATGTAACATTCAACATAATAGGCTGCTGAAAATCCTTTGAATTACGTTGCTGTAAAAGTACAAGTTAGTATAGTTAACATTTCTAGAGATGAGATAATACTTAAATATCAAAATTTGTAGTTACATATTTCTCAAAAAGCATTAAGGCTCGTTTCCACTACTGAATATGAACGCGTTGCATCAATTGAAGGCACGCCTACGGCATCCGTACAAGCGTTTCCACTGCTGTGTATCCGTATAATATTTTCATTTTCCGCTGCTAGGTGTCACTGTAATATTTTGGTGCCAAACAAGCAGTTCGCAAGTTACTACGCTGGTTTTGGATTTGATATGGATCCTGACGTAAAACGCAGAAAAGTTTTGTTTACTAAATTCCATGTTATTGGAAATTTTTATTTCTGCTTATGGACTGCGAAAGTAAAGTACGCTAGCAATTTTTACATAAGTAAGGTTATAATGCATATTATGAACATCACTAATTCCATAGAAGCTTAAGTAAATTTAAAAAAAAAAAGAATTTGTGTTTCTAGAAGCCTTAAATATTATTTCATAATATATATATTATTAATACTAAAATGTACTGTTAGTGAAAAAGTAAACAAATAAATAAATAAAATAAAAAAGTTAAAGGGATTAAAAAATAGTTGGTACTTTAAAAGTACAGAGCAACTGTAAAGAAAGGTTCACAATATTTACGCAAAATTTGCTATGCTTGTATACCGCTGACTTCATGGTCATAGCTGGATAAGTTATTAGAAATCTCGTTTGTTTTAAAATGCACTATGGGCAGTTATATTTTATGCATAATCCATAAATATTATTTTTAATTTAAACATTTTTAATTCATATCTCTTTTTACAGAAGTTATAAAAATAAGATTTTTCTCTTTATATATACACACATTAGGTAAAGGAAATGGAAATATTTAATTAATTAATTCCTGCGCTTCTGCTGGAGAGGACTGATTTAAAAGCAATTATTATAGTAATTTCTTGTTAAAAAATGTTTAGGGCATTAATACTGTCTCATGTTAATTGGAATGAAAGTTTAGAGTCGTAAACATCCCAAAGTCGGAGCACATGTGTATACATTCACATAAAAGTGAAACGAATATATATATATATCTGCAGGGTTTCAAAATAAATTAAATTTAAACAATTCTCTTGCGCCATTGCTGCAAGGAATGAAATTTGAATTTAACAAACATTTTCTATTCGTAAAAAGCAAATTAAAAGTTAATTAAATTTAAATGAAATTTAATGCAAACAAATAAAGGATTAATTATTGCTGCGAACTAATATACAATATCATTTAAATTCTGAGAGCATATGTAAATCAAGTGCAAGTATCAAAATCCATGAATAAATATATAATTCCAAAAATTTATTTATCCTATTATTCACTTATGCATTTTTATAAACTTTTTAGGATTAAATCTATCCTATTATTCATTTATGCATTTTTATAAATTTTTTAGGATTAATAAGCTATCCTATTATTCATTTATGCATTTTTATAATTTTTTTTAGGATTAATAATCTATCCTATTATTCACTTATTCATTTTTATAAATTTTTGGAATTATATATTTATTCATGGATTTTGATACTTGCACTTGATTTACATATGCTCTCAGAATTTAAATGATATTGTAGATTAGTTCGCAGCAATAATTAATCATTTATTTCATCTATATTTAATTAACTTTAAATTTGCTTTTTACGAATAGAGAATGTTTGTTAAATTCAAATATATATATATACAGGGTATGCTTTAAATTAGTATTATATAATTTTTAAACTTTTTTGCTGGGGGGAAATTTAAATACACAAGAGCATAAATAAAACAATATATTTAACGTATATAATAATAGAAATAAATTATAAAACACAAATATAGATCAAATTGAAACAAAAAGCTAAGAAAGTTGCAGACAGGGTGCAAAAAGCGCATGGGATTCGAACTCACGACCCCAAAAGGCAAGCATTTATACCGTCAGCTTTACCACTAAGCTAGCATCACATGGAGCGGATGCATATTTTGGCTTATATACATTATCAAGTAAATCCATTCTTGAAACTAAATTTTTTGGTTCTATTTCAGTGTACTATCGTCTGAGAAATTCACCAGAGTTTGTTCTTCAGCTTCTAGTTCTAGAGAAATTCCCCAGAGTTTGTTCTTTTACAAAAAACATTATCTTTTAAAGTGGCGTTCCGATTGAAGTTAAACGTGCTATTAAAAATATATTTCATGTGCTTACAAATATATGTTAGCCAAAAAGATATATTTATAAAGAGAAATACAAATTTAACATACTCTTCAATGAACTGGAGTATTTAAAAGACTATCAAATTTAATTTATAATTAACGTTTTTAGTTTTTACCTGTTTTAAAAGAAAAAAATAACAAATCTTTTAATCATATCTAATTTGCTATAGCAGTTTGATATAGTCAGACATTCATTTTCATTAAAGGTAAATGAATATGCAGAACTAGGAAATAATTGTCAGGACAAATTTTGCTATTTCATGGACTTGGAATTATAATTTTTGCCGCTGATTTTCTTGAACTGAATTTCTTGAACGCCTGATTTTATCTGTGAACAAGTACTGTACTTGCAATTATCTTATTTTTTTAAATCTTTTTTTAACTAAATTCAGCTGATTGCTGTCTTTTTCAGCACACAGATTTCTCGCTATAATGTTAATTCAGAAATAAGTATTTTTTAGCAAAACATTCTTTCGCTATTAGCGAGCGTTCATCGCTACTTCTGCCGCCATTAATTTTTAGTCACTGCACCTGATTGCTCCTTTTTTACCACGTGACCCCAACGCATCCGCAGACATACGGATAGAAGTTGAACATTGTTGAACTCCATCCGTATGTCATCCGTCACCGCACACCGACCGGATTTCGGATGTCAACCAAAGTGAATTCGCTCGCTGATTGGAGAAACGCATACGCACCGCAATGCATATGCAGCAGTGGAAACGGGCCTTTAGAAAAATTCTAAAATCCAAATTGTCATTTTGCAATCAGTATTGTTCCAAACTATAAAAATCTAAAATTAACAGATGAAAAAAATTAACACAGCAAACTGAACTTACCATCACTGCTAAATGCTCCAGCTCGGCATTGGGCTTTATGAGACGTGACGTAACATGTTTCATATAATGCTGGCTCAGGTGCAAGTGATGGTGCTTAACAATACAAAATACATTTAATTATGTAAGAAATATATTTTTACTTGAAAATTAAAATTTGTTTCTCATTATAATTTTCATTTTTTTTTTTTTTTTCAATTTAAAAATAAAAAACAAAATTAGGAGTAGGCATGGATTATTTTACAGTAAATTTCTAAACTTTAGCATGAAAAGTGCCAAATTCAAATCTTCCTCAACTCAGATACATTTCTATAAATCTAAGCATAATAAACACAGACTGAATTTGCATATTTTTAGTAGATTGGGGAGGGGGGAGGAACTAGATCCAAAGATTTTCTTCATGTAAATTAAAAAATGGAAGTTAATGATGCAAAAGGCAAACATAAATTATATATTTAAAAAAAATCTAATAATAATTCTTCTTCTTCAATTACATTACAGCCTATCATAAGCCGAAGCCATCTTAAAAAGCTTCCTCCAATGGATTTGAATAGTCGCTATGGTGATTTTCAGGGAGGTCTTCCCTCTTTTCGTGGTACTTTCTACATATGCAAAGTTCACCTTTTTAATAGTGTTCAAGTTGTCACGTCTAAAAATATGTCCAAGCCACCTGATACAATAAGATTTGATGACTTGGACAATATTATGTTGCTTGTGTCTTCTATATATTTCATGGTTAAACAAAATTCTCCAGCTATTATTTTCTTTAACTGGGCCATATATTATTTGCAGTAATTTTCTTTCAAAGATTAGAAGTCTTTTTTTTCATTTGTTTTTGTTAAGGGTCAGCATTCATTACCATACAATACAATAAGTCTAATAAGAGTAATAACTTATTATTTATAAAGATTTATTGAAGTTTAATAATTTAGACTCTAAAAATTCTTTAAACAATAATAACTTCTACTAGCTCTAAATAATGTATTGCCAATTTCACTATTATTCACAATTATCATTAGAGATGATAGTACCCAGATACATAAACTGAGAAATGATCTCGAAAATATAAGAATTTATTTGCAGTGGGAGAGGGGATTATGTACTCTACTAGTTACTGGCATATAATTTGTTTTAAACTTATTAATGGTTAATCCAGTGTCTCTGGCTGCAGATGCTAAAAAAATAAAAGTCTCCATAACTGTCTATTTACTTCTGCCAATGATATCGATGTCATCAGCGTACGCGAGTAACTGTATAGATCTATGAAATATGGTGCCTCTAGTTAGGCTTTTCAAGGGCTATATTAAAAAACATGCATGCAAGGGCATCAGCTTGTCTCAACTTCCTTTCAGTGTAGAATGCTTCTGATCAGATATGATTTTAATCGCAATTTATTCTCTTTAAAGACATTCTAGATAGATAAATCAATTTTCTAGGAAATCCAAATTCCAGCACAGCTTCAGACACCTTTTTACAGTATATGCTATCATAAGCAGCTTTTAAATCTATAAAACTAACAATAATTACAATATTAAAAAAAGCTGAAAGCTTTCAGATGTCCAAACGGTCCTTTTAAAAAAAAATCACTTTCTGTGTTACATTTATTTATTAAATATCATGTTCTTTGCACTTAAACAATAAAATTCAATTCAACAGCAATATCGCAAAAGAATTTTACAATAAGCATATCTTTTAAATTTCCGATAAACAGTCTCATGCGTTGGAGATAAAAAGTGCTTTCCCCCCCTTCCCCTGTAAAGTATTGCCATTGCTCGTTTTGAACTCGGTGCGTTTCTTAATCAAAAGCTCATAAATGCTTTACAAAAGATGAAATAGAGTAATAATAAAACCAATTCGAAATTTGGGCTTCCAGATGCCCATATTCGGAGAAGGATTTCGTTATTCAAAATTGGATGGCTCTAAGTATTGTTGTTTTATCACAATGCGAGAAACATATATACATTTATGCAGATTCTTCAATATTTAATTCCTTTAAATATAACACAGGGCGATAATATTTGGTGGCAACAGTTTGAAAACTGAATTGACGCAAAATGCCAAAACGAAATTATCTAGTTTATTATAGCCCTTCTGAGCTAACACTCCTTTGGGCTAATAATAAACTAGATACACTATAATATTAATTATAAACTAGATACATTACAATATTAATAATAAACTAGATGTTGATAAAAATCCTATTCTGAAAAAATTAACAGTAAGAAAATTAAATTACTTTATTATAATAAAAAACCATAATGGATATTATCCAAATATATATATAATTAGGCTAATTTTTAGAATATGGTAACAGGTAGTTTGGTGATGTTTTGGTAAGGCGATAAAGGTTACTAGCTAGGACTTTACCACTAATTGAGAAGTACACAGTTCGAACACAAATTATTTTGTCTCACAGAAATGAGAGATCATGAGTAATGTGACATTTCCCGCAAAATTCCGATCACGATTTTAGCTAATAAGCACTTAGAAACAATTTTGCTGCTAAAGTGCAGAATCGCCCCCTTATTTGTTTGGCGCTTTTTACAAGAGTAAGAAGAATTGGATTTTTGCCAATTTTCTTTCACTTTTTAAGTGAAAATAGGTTGATGTGTTCATAGATAAAGTCAAGAGTGTGCGCAATGCCATTTTTTTGCAATTCTGGGATGTTTTTTAAGTGAAAATAGGTCAACGTGTACATGGATACCGTGTATGTGCAATTCTTAAAAACGTGGGAAGCAGTTTGCGATTCTGTACTTTCTCCCAATTTCGCACCTAATCTTTGTCATGATTAAGCATTTTTGTTCCATAAAAGTTCTAGTATAAGCGTAATTTGGCTAGCAGATTGTTGGAAAAAATGGTGAGTAAAAAAAAAAAAAAACATGCCTTTACTTCGTGAAAACAAAATGACATCCAAAACAAAACTAGCAGGTTGCTGTAGCAGGGTTATTTGCAAAATTTTCACCAAGTTACCATAATGTAAAGATTCATCTATAATTTATATATTGTATGATCTTAAATTCCCTTAGTGTGAAATCGAGTTATTCTACTACTTGTGCAATAGCTGCAAAGTAAGTTAATAATAATTTATTTACTAAAACAAATCTTCTAAAAATAGTAAATTACTATTTACAAGTACAAAATTTTGTACTGATATGCATTTATTAATGGATTTATTACTCAGGCAAACGATAGAATAATGGTGCTGAGGATTAACTCTTAAACTTATTTTGCGGTACTATTAGTGTTTTGCAGAACAAAGAAGTAAAAAGGGAAGTATTGTAATCGTGAAAAGTTTCAAGCAGCATATTTCAACGAAAATATCCATTTTGACCGTTATCGAATACAATTTAACGATGTTTTTGCTTGACATCTGTACGTAAGGACAGAAAAAACTAAAAAAGACCTTTGTGGTCAAGAATTTTGCACATTGAGCTGCAAAAATTAGGAAACAAGGTAAAAAGAAAATTCTTAATGCTTCCGCATAAAGTCGTTATGATACTGTGGTTCAGGGAAAAAAATTTTTTAATATAAGTTAAAATAAAGTGCAATGAAAAGTGTAAATATAAAATAAATGTAATAAAAAGCGTATTTAAAACTCAAATCAAATTGGAAGTAATATGTTGACTAAAGTTAAAACAAGCTTTAAATATTTGAATAAAAATACAATTGTTATATAAGACATATATATATATTCTACCAATTTCTACACAACTTTTTATAATTCCATAATAAAAAAAAGTACATAAAATTATGCAAATAACAAACAATGCAAAATTAAAAAAAAAAAAAAAAAAAAAAAAAAAAAAAAAATCTGTCTTTAGAAAAATTAAAAATCTGTACACACCAATATAGGTACATGAAAAATAAAGAATTTTGAAATTTAAAGTTAGGCAAAATTTAGTATTGGTTTTGTAGACAAAATGTAAAATAAAAATAACAAAATGTAAAATTTACCTTCAGTTTCATATTCAAGATCTATGCCAATACCAACATTTGATGTATCCACTCTCATTGCATCATGTTCCTTATTATCTGAAAATGATTAGAAGCAACATAACTAGTCAAGAATATTAAAACTAAATATTACTTTTGAGTGTTAAGAAGATAAAAAAAAAATATAGCATAAAAAAACTTTTTAAGCAGTTACACTTTTAAACAGTGAAATGTTGCAAATGAATAAGCAATGCCCGAGTGGTAAAGTTGCTGAACACTCGTAGTTCAGTCCTGGGTTCCAATCCCAGCAAATAGGCTGACCGCATGGGCCTTTTTGTGGTTTTCCCAAAATGCAATGTGCCAACAAGGTAGTTTAGGGTATTATTATAATTTCTTAATAGTTATTTTTAATTTTGAAAATGTTTCCTTTAAATTCTTGTTTTCCATTTACATTTCCCTGCCACAATGAGATTGTAGTAGTGCATTTTATGTAAATGAAGCAAAACCAGTACTTAATTATAAATTAAGTCACTTTTGTAGAAGAACTCAGAAGTTCTCAGTAAAACGTGTTGTCTTCAGGCCACATTGTTGCTTTGAGCATATCTTACTACATACGGCCATAGTCTTACATGCCTGTTAGTATTCGCCAGTGAGGTTTAATTATTACCCAACTGGGTTAATTATCTTTGATCATCTTTGATTATCCACTTGCGCTTTAACTATCTAAAGCCCAAGTGGATGCTTTCCTGTAAGCCTGAGAAGAGCCTTTGTTAGTATTTCTTTGAATAAATAAAAGGGTATTTTAACCCTTCTTTGGATTTATATTTTATATTTGTAAGAACATCAGTAAACAGTCGCCAGACACTTACCTAAAGTTCTACTAGCCACCGACATGTAAATTAAATAGAACTTTATACCCTTAGAAGGTTCTTCCTAAAGGCATCCCTCCTTTTACGCAGATACCTGAAGTGTGCTTTACTGTAACCTAATAAACCATACATGAATAAGTATAATATACCTAATAAACCATGAATAAGTCTATTTTGGACTAATACAAGGGTTAGGTGAAACGTTCTCAGCCTGACAGTGAAAAACTGTATTTTTCAGTTAAAAAATTATTTTATTTTTCAACATAATCTCCCTTGATTTCAACACACTTGGTCCAGAGTTTCTCGAACATCAGTATTCCTTCCCGGAAGTGAGAGTCTGGAAGGTAGTGAAAATGTTCATCTACAACCCTCTCAACTTCTTCATTGGATGTGAAGCACTCCCCAGAAATAAATTTCTTCAAGTCTTGGAACAGAAAGAAGTCTTAGGGTGCCAAATTGGGAGAATAGGGTGGATGGCCGAGCAAATCATACCCCAAATCCGGCAGTTTCCTCATTGCCAACGTACCCCTGTGCACAGGTGCATTGTCCTGGTGATAGAAGATTTTTTGGTACAACTCTAATATACGCCCTAATTTCACCAAATGTGGCGATATGTGTTCTGTGCTGGTTTTTGGCACGATTGTGTGTTCTATGGCAACCCTGTTGACGTTGAAAAATCTTTCACTGGAGCTCGTTGGTTCGCATCTGTGTCTGAGAAGATGGGAGGGAAAGATAAAATGGTAGTTGTTGAATTGAAGTTCGGCAAAAGGAAATATGATTGTGGCTATCCTGTTGAGGGTAGTGGGTATTTCGAAGTGTGGAAAGAGGGTCTGGGAGATTATTTTTAATGGCAGTGCATGATAGAAGTAGGGATTTGTGATTTTATTTATTTGTGAACCATAGTATAAATTTTCTGGATAGTGTGTCTGGCTGTCGTGTAAATACAATAGTGATTACGTGGCGGCATGTTAAAGGCGGTATGAAATTTATATTTCTGCTATTCGAAAACGCATTAATTCATGGTAAGTGCATTTTATTTTATCCTTGTTCTTATTTTGTAGAATGTTATGTTCATTGGTTCTTTTTAGTATGAAATTTCTGTCGTTATTGTTGTTTTTTGAATTGTTTGAAATTTATTTTAGTTTATTTTGTTGTTTGTGCGCAATGTCTACACTGTACAATTCGTAGATGTTTTTTTAAGTTGAAACAGAAAAAACAGAAGGTTGTGTGTACATGGTATTCTTTGAAATTTATTCTGTTGTTATGTTATTTTATTAAAGCGGAGGTGTGCATAGATTCGTAGATTCCTTCCTTGCCTAATTGTGCAATTCGTAGAATTTTTTTTTAAGTTTAAAACAGGATCGCTGTGTACATGGTATTCTTTGAAATTTAATTATTATTATGTTAATTTATTAAAGCAAGGTGTGCGTAGTTTGTTGATTCGTTCGTTGCCTACATTGTGCAATTTGTAGATGCTTTTTAAGTTAAAACATGTCGCTGTGTACATGGATTCTTGTCAAATATTTTTGGTTAGAAAGTTTACGTTTTTGCTATCTAAATTTTTTGTTTTTGTTTCGGATTTTTAGCTAAATTGTGTGTTTAAAACGTAGTTTTTGCATGTGCGAAAACCGCGTTTTTGGAGACATTTTAGGCTAAAAGTTCAAAATGTAGACAAAAAATTTAGATAGTAATATGGCAGCGTGAAGTTTCTCGCCAAAGATATTTGGTGACTTGAGGGTGCATATCAGAGTAGTTCCGATTTTTTTTTTTTCTTTTTCATGCCAGGCCTCTTCTAGTGAATTTTGACATCCAGCTGGTCAAGAAGTTCGAAGTAATATTCACCTGTATTTGTTTTCCCTTTTGCAAGGTAATCAACTAACAGGATACTTTTTGCATCCCAAAACATACTGGCCATGACCTTCCCAGATGATGCGATTTAATTTAGCTTTCTTTGATGCTGAACCACCGGCTTCCATCCACTGCTTGGACTGTTGTTTCGTTTCTGGCATGTAGTCATGGACCCATGTCTCATCCATGGTGACAAATCACAGCACACTCAGTAGAATACCTGTTGAATCGGTCTAAACATTGATGCAAAAATAGTTTTGTGCATTTGCGTTTGATCGGGATTCAGCAAATACGGCACCCATCTTGTACAGACTTTTTGCATTCCTAATTCTTTATGCAATATGTTTTGCACCCTTTCTTCCTATATCCCTACAGCTTCAGTCCCTACAGCTTTATCCTACTACTTCTCACACACCTTCACTCGCCTATCGTCCAACACAATACTATGTACTTTTCGATGGTTTCCAGTGTGGTTACGGTTTTTGGTCATCGTTCACGTGGGTAATTTCCGAGGGATGCGCGACTACGTTTAAATTCAGTTGCCCACTGCCCACGTTTCGACGGTTGACATAGAAAAAGTAAAGTCCCCGTAAACTTTTGGCCAACTTCGGATGAATTTCCTTAGGGCTTAATCCACTCAAAATGAAAAATTTTATGAATGCACAATATTCAAGTTTATCCATTTTATTGAATAACACACAAGACGTCTACTGCAAAAATTTGTGTAAACAACTACTTAAGAGAAGAAGTTGAAACTAAACTTGTCACACAAACTAATGACACCTACACCCAGGCAGGAAACAAATTTTTGCTGATTGGAGCAGCATCTCTGGGTGAGGTTGAGAACTTTTCACCTTACACTCATATAACTTTTATTACTGCAACTGCAACATATTTTTGTCACTAGTCTTAGTGAGTGACAAAAATATGTTGTTCACCTAAATTTTTCCTACTTCTATCATATGCTGATGAAGTTAAATCTGAATTATTTTAGTTATTTATTATTCTTATGCATATTTCTTACACATGCTTATAGCTTATCCAAGTCTTGAATAAAGCAATTCCCATAAATACTGTTACGAAATATCAAGGCGGGGCAAGGTAGCTTCCCCGCAGAGCAAGTTCACAGTTGCCATAAAATGGCAAGGGAAGGCAGGGTTGCCACATTTGGCGAGAAATCACCCATTTGGCGACAAAATCGGCGATGTGCCATGGACGGATGGATAACCTTCTGGAGCGATTTCTTACCAGTTTAACCCAGAAGTGGGATTAGTGAGTGAATACCAGTGACTTGCCTGCAGAGGAAAGCTATGGTGGAGGAGATGAAGACTTCGATGCACATTTTAGCTAAGATAAAAGTCGGATATGATATGATGAGGGTTGAGGTGAAAGCTGGATTGAAAGAGATGAAAGCCAGACTGGAAGAGAAGAAAAAGAAAGCCTGTCGAGAAGAAATAAATGTTGGCCAAGAAAAGGTGCGAGACCAACTTCAACAGATGAAAGTAGAGCTTTCAGAAGAAACTGGAGCCATAAAAGAAGATGTGGAAATGACAGAAAAATCAAGAAATAGAGGATGAAACATCTAACGAGATTAAAGACAGAGATCGAAAAAGTGAAGAAACAAAAGACGGAAAAGAAGTTTTTGATTCTCATGTGCCTGAAGTAGAGATAGAAGAAAGTGAAAATGTGACTATCAAGATCGTAGAAAGTGATAATGAAGTTAAAAAGTTGCAGTTAGCAAGAGTTGAACCATCTGAGAGTGCATGTGATGCAGAGATGGGAGAAGCTGGTGTGCAGCTTACACAGTGTGCTCCAGTATTGCAAGAAAATTCACCCATTTCGCAAACTATATGTGTGCCTCATAGTGTAGGTTGTGCAGACAAGGACTTGATTCTTAATCAGGATACTTCTGCTCATAAAGAGTTGGATTCTGTTCATAAATCTAACACAAACATCGAAACTGGTTTTCAAGAAATCGAGGTAAATAAGCATGTACCAACTGCTAAAAATTACTGAGAAGAACTGTACACACGATGCGAATAAATTACAGAGTGATGAACGAACTGTTTTAGACCTTCTTGTGGATAGAAAGTCTGAAAGGACTGAATCTTCAGACTGTGATCTGAAAAACAGGAATACATCTGAGAATTGCAGTGGAAAAGTATTTGACTCAGGTATAACTTAATGAGAAGGAGACTGAAATTCCTTTTGAACTTTAATTTGCATAATTCGAAATTGTTATGTGATTTAATTTGTGTATTTAACTTGTAAATAGTGTAAATATTTGTTTCTTTAGTTATGCTGTTTGTTTTATTATGTTTTGTTTGTATTGAATTTTTGGCTTCTGACCAAGGGTTGTACTGCCCGGGACGTGCAGTTTTTGGGAAGGGGCAGTGTTACGAAATGTCAAGGCACGGACGGTAAGGTAGTTTCCCCACAAAGCTAGTTCAGGGTTGCCATAAAATGGCAAGGGAAGGCAGGGTTACCACATTTGACAATATGCCATGGATGCATGGGGAATCTTCTGGAACGAATTCTTACCTGTTTAGCCCAGAATGTTCTAGAACACAAGCTGAAAGCTATGTAAGCCCTGCTGGAACGCAGTTAGTAAAGGTGCCTCGCCTAGCGAGTTGATAGTCAATCATTAAATGTCTTGAAGTCTAGTGGCGAGTTGGTCGTCAAGTGCATCGAAGAATCTCTTAGTGTATTGTGGTTAGTGCATCGTCGAGAGAGTGTGTTAAGCTCCGGGAACGACTGAACTGAAGAATCGAAAGCTGTGCTCTGTGTGTCGTCAAGTGCATCGCAAGTTCTAGCGTGGAGAGTCTCGAGAGTACGTGGAGTTCCGAGAACGACCGAGCAGAGTCGGGAGCTGTACTCTGGTGCTTTGCAGTGAAGCTGTCTCCACCGTTATTGCATGACAGTGTGAAGGCTGTGTCACTGATTGTTCCAGCATGTTTATAGTATATCTTCGATGACTGTAAAAGTGTTTTGGAGCTGTCCTGATTAATATTGGTAAATAAAGTGTGCTTCGATACTTCATCAAATGTCGTCGTTATTCACTCCAAATCTACTAACCCGGTACGAACGTGAAGGAAGAAAATAACATAACAACTGGTGTCAGAAAAAAAAAAAGAAAACATAACAATATATAAGGTACATTCAAGGGCAATGCTCGCTATTGTTCATGGTGGAAATCTTCTGGCAGCCACAGATTACATGCAACAAATGTAACTTGGTAATAATTTTGGTGACAATCTTGCGACAAATATAACTTGCTGATAATCTTGGTGCTGCTTATATAAACAGAGAGCCGTGAAAACTAAGTAGTACCATAATTTAATATAAAATTGCACTTATTATCATACTTAATACAATTATGTAAAGAATTTACTTTGACATATATAAACATGCCAGAAAATTTTAATTATTTTATTTAATATGATTTTATTAAAAAAGCATAGATAAATGTACCAGAAAATTTCCGGCAGCCAAAGTTGAGCAATTGCTGCTTAATTTTTTTTCTTAAATATCAATTTCGCTTCATTTTCCAATGATGGAAAACAGAAAGCATGATGATTATTTTACAATGAAAAAATATTCAAACAATGCAATTAAAAAAAAAAAAAAGACTTGTTTGTTTCTTGCTCATGCGCAGATTGGTAACTAACTATTCTCACACAATGGCTGATCAGTAACTGTTTATTTTCCACAAATGCAGAAATACACTTTCTCGCCAAGGCCACTACAGAAGACAACTATCCAAATTTTTACTTCATTTGAATATACACATTCTCGTTTTATGAAGATTAAATTAATTTTTTTATTATTTTTACATCAAACTACTCTATTAGTTACTTAATCAAAATTTAATTATATAAGAAAACATGCACTTTATTATGACTTACCTAACTCGGTTCTTAATCCCAATGCTACTATTTGAAGCAGACGATCAGAAGGAGGACAGGGAGGTTGAGTTTTAATCAAATTTGATAAACTCACAGCTAATGTTTGGTAACCATCATAAAATAACTGGCTATAAAAAATTAATCACAGTTGTTAAAAAATTTGTAAAGTCAAGCTTTAATTTGAACAGAAATGCAACACAATTAGCTTAGCACAGTACAGCATCCAAGATCTGGAGTCATCAGTGCTTCGGCGATTCCAGATTTTAGGTCAGCAGTTTAAATCTATTAAAGATTAGAGTTCACTTTAGAGTACCCCTTGTATTATCATGAAATTGTTTAATTTATTGCCAAGTTGTTGTTTCATTTATGGTAACTTGAGTAGTTAAATGTTATGGAAACCCTATTATGACGAAATCGTTTGCATTATTACGGGAAATTTTGAATCATGTGATGTTTTTTAATGACTTTTGTGGTGTGTGTTGGTTAGGAAGTACATTGCTTGTTTAATTATTTAACTGATAGAATGGCTAAATGTAGTAAGATTAATTTGAAGTTTCTGTACGATTTGGAACGAAAGGGAAAAGTGCGTTAATTGACTGATGTGTAAATGAAGGTTTACTTAGTAGTCATTTTCCGAAAAAAAAAAAAAAAAAAAAAAAAAAAGGAACTATGTAGGATATTTTTTACTCTTATTTTTGTGTATTTATGTGGCGATCATGACACATGGATTCTAGTTCAGATAATTTAACAAGTTTTTGGATGCGGTTAACCCTTTGCGACACGCATATTTCAAATATATATTAATCTTTAAAAAAATGCCTTAGAATAAGTCAGATGGACTTACTTAAGTGCCTTTAAAGGCTTGAAAAAAAAATTCTGCGCTTTTATTTTTACAGTGGAAGGTGGGATACTGTTTGTCCAACCATGCAACTAGCACATGTCTTATATTGGTGTATAGCAGGAAAAAAAAATCATATGTGGAATGAATAAACAAAATAAAGCATGCATTCTAAAATATTCATAATAAACACACTAAAATGCATTTTGTACTTTTTGCATATATGCATGACTTGTAAAATTTTGCATATGCACATTTTGCATATAGTATATATTTAAATATTTTTAAATTTAGGAACAAAAGAAATATTTTCTTGAATATTATTTTAAGATTAAAATTTGATACTCGTACATATGATACTAAATAAAATATTAAAATTGGCACTTGATTCAAAAACATTTATATATGATTAAAATTGAAAAAAAAAATCACTTTTCATGAAACTTTGAAAAACATGTTGTTTCATTCCTTTGTAAGCATAGAGGCACTTCACATGTTTCACACATCCAAAATGTTCATCGTTCTTCTTTTGATATGCTGCAATATGCACATCTTCTCCTGCTCGTTCTCTTTGGCGTTTTACTTACATTTTTAAGTCTTTTTTCTGGTTGTACGAACGGGATTTTAGTTTTTATTTGAACTGGGGATTTCAGTTTTCTTTTCAGCTCTTTCTTGCCTGCAAGCGCCATTAGACCTTCTATAACTGAGAGAAGAAAATCTTTCATGTTTTTACAATCATGATCAGGTTCGCGAACAAACTTGAATAAATGTGTTTACTATACTCGCATGTAAAAAGTAAAAAAAAAATCATGTGCCACCATTTCTTGCTTTTGCGGTCTATGTCATATAGTCTGTCAGTTGATCAATCAGTCGACATATCCCATATTCTTATTGTATGGAATAATGCTGTTTGGGCACAGTACTTTTTTTTTTTTTTTTTGTCTTTCCATCTCACTCTTTTCTATTAATTTCTTTCATTTCAGTTGCCTTTTCCAAGCAAGACAGAATAGAAACGGATCTTTTATCCTTCCATTTTATGCAATAAATTGAATCATCGCTAACTGAAAAGTTTATATATTCTCTTGACATAAATTTGTCTTTTTAAAATTTGGGTAGATACTTCCGATCCATATTACAGTGCCACATGCATAGATGGGTCTGTGTCTTTAAAAAGCGAAACAAATTATAACTACTTCCCTTTCTTCAGCAATAACTTCAACCTCAGTTATTCTCTCCTGGATTTCAATTTCATCTGAATCAGAAATGACATCTGAAGCATTTGAGTCGCAATCGGATGGCAATTCAGCAAAAAGATCCAAAGCTTTCTGAGTTATTAATATTTCTAGACATTTTAGGACATCAAAGCATACAACGGATGTAAAAGTGCCCGCAATCACGAAAAAAGGTAGATGCAAAAAAGAAAAGAAAAAATAATCGTAAGTGCTGCCATTTATTGTGCGGAAATTCAAGTGTGTGATGGGAAGAATTTTAACCCACTTATTTCAACCGGAAAATTAATCTTAAAAAATATTGAATCCAATTAAGATTTTTGAAAATAAAATTTCTTTGAATATAAAAAAGAATCATACATATCATAATTGTATACCAAAATTTTTAAAATATGGAAAAATGCGAGATACATGGATATAAACTCTTGTGATCCTATTTTGAATATTTTTTGCTTATAAACTTCAGCCCTGGTATAGTAGTAACATATACTGAGAAAAATAATAACTAAAATAGATTATTTTTAAAAGATTAGAAAATTTTTAACGGAAATTGCTATCTGAGAAAATAAATATTAATTAGGCGGGACATATATTGACCCACCATGCCGCAAAGGGTTAAGGTATTTTGTGTGCCACACACTGAAGACAAATGAATTTCTAAATAACGTAAGTGGATATTTGCTTTATGTAGTGCTTAAATGCATAACAGGTTTTTCCTTTTTTATGTTATTTTACTGTTTGGTTCAAAATGTAATTTATTAAGATTATGCATTTTTATTTGCCTCTACTGTAGGATTGGGTGCTCCTTTGACTTTTTAAGTGAAAATATATCGATGTGTACATGGACTAACTCAAGGGAGTACGCAAAGCCTAGTTTATGCAATTCTCTGATTTTTTTTTTTTTTTTAAGTGAAAATAGGTCGATGTGTACATGGATACCGAGTTTGTACGATTCTTTGTCTTAGTGTAGCAGCGGTTTTTGGCACGAAAATTGCCGCTAACCAAGCCAAAATAACAAGTCAAAGAATTGCACAACCATGTGCTGCCAAAATCTCACAACCATGTGTCGGTATCCAAGTGCTGCCAAAATCTTGCCAAGTTTTGCCAAGGGGTACCCTTAAATATACTTTTACCCTAGTAAAATGACACACAGAATATGGTAGCATTGTAGCTTCACTTATCGTTCAGGTCAGATAAAAATATGCTATTCCTCAAGCACTAAAAGCATGAACTTGGCTACATTTATACAGCATCAATCAACATTTTGTGATTCTCCACAGTGCAATTTCCTAGCAAGTGCTTGAAAGTGACATGTAGGAATCTCAACTGTTCCAGAGAAAAACTGTATTTATAGCACATCTGCTTCTTTTAATTAAATACTATGCATTCCTAGACTTTGTAACTGATTGAGGAAAGTGAGTTTTATATTGTTTTATTGTCTGGAAGTCCATTATTGGACTTCTGAATATCAGACTTTTTACTGTGTACTGTATTAAATCTGACTATAAAGATTGTTTTGACAGAAACTCTATTATTACTTTTTTTAAAATTAATTTTGATGAAAACAGCACTTTTTATTAATCTTTCATTATGAGGGAGGGGAATACAACAATTGAAAAAAATCATTCAATAGCACTTATTTGACCCCCCTCCCCGAGAAAAAAATCAAAGTACATGCTCAGCTAACAATACTTATATTCCATAGTTCAACAAGAACATTATAAAAAGGTGTACTTAAATTTTGTCATCACCTAATTTTATGTTGGCAAGAATTTCTGCAACTTACTCAAAAAGACAATAAAATTGGAAGAAAATCATGATAATGTAAAATTTAAAACTAAACAAGAACACAACTTTAATTTGGCAAAGGTTTCATGCAAAATTCTCTTTAATCTGTCAACAAAACAACCTAAGTTTGATACAGATATTGAATAAAAATTTATCTATCTATAGATTTTTAATTAAAATCTGCAACATATGATTGCATTGTTGTTTACTTTTGAAAAGAATGAATTTTAAATGCATGCAATCAACATATTTTCAAATTTTATACAAATAACTTATTTTAAGTACTTCAGTCATTGGGGGGGGGGGGGGGGGGGGGGGGGGGGGGGGGGGGGGGGGGGGAGGGGGGGGGGGGGGGGGGGGGTGATGATTTATCAACAACAAAAAAAAATATGTAAAAATATACCATAGTATCAATTCTAATGATTCTGGAATTTTTGTCAAAAGAAAAATGCAATGAATCAATACCAATACTTTATATGACATAAAAATTGATTTATTTATAGGAAACATGAAAGAAAAAATTTTCAGTTAATCTTTGGATTATGGTTACTTGGTGATTTTTTGGCAAAAATTTGGAGACCGTTTTAGCTGGTAGTTTTCTTTGGACGCCATTTTGTTTTCACAAAGTAAAGGCACTTTTTTTTTTTTTTAACTCAACATTTTTTTCCAACAATCTGCTAGTCGAATTATGCTTTTCTAGAACTTTTATGGAACAAAAACGCTTAATCATGACGAAGATTAGGTGCAAAATTGGAAGAAAGTGCAGAATCGCCCACTGCTTGTGTTTTTAAGAATTGCACATACACGATATTCACGTACATGTCGACCTATTTTCACTTAAAAAAAAATTCCAGAATTGCACAAAAATGGCATTGCACACACTCTTGACTTTATCCATGTATACTGCTAAAGTCCTAGCTAGTAACCTTTATCGCCTTACCAAAATGTCGCCAAACTACCTGTTACCATATTCCAAAGATTAGCCTTTTTTTCTTTCTTTTCATATATTGTTATATTACAATCAACAATTTAATTTCAAATGCATTCTATTAGAAATTTCAGAAAATTCTAAATCTTTGTCTTTATTACATATACATTTAAAATTTATAAACGGTATATACCACTTTATCCTATAGAACAATCAGAAGATCTTGAAACAATCTCCTATGCGGACAATCTCTTTTGCACTTTTTTTTTTTTTTCTTTCAATCAGAGGATAAAGTATTGTTATATTAAAGAATTTTAATCATTGAGAAAATTCATACTTAACGACTTTAATAACAAAATGAACGAATTTTAATTAAAAAACAATGATGGAGTACAAATAAGATACTTGAAGATGGTGGGGCAATGATATTGCTTATCTGAAAATATTTAACTTTGTTTTGTTGAAATGAATGACAAAGTCTAATCTATTGAATACTTTTTATTATATTTTAAAGATTTTAATACTTTTTACTAAATCTTTTATGTTCAGCATTTAGACAACCAATACTAAATTTAATTTTCGATTCTCATAAAAAGCACATGCTTAAATTTCATCACTTATAAAAATTCATTTTTAATATACACCCGTAAATATTCTTCCAATCTGATTAATTTAATGATTCCATTTCCTTATCTTCTTATAAATTCATGCCTCATATCATATGTTAATGCTCTCAGCTATATTTCTTTAGGATTTCTGCAATTTGGGCTTTAAAAATTCAGATACGAATATAAGTAAGAAAACAGTTTAACATTAAACGGACACAAACTCTCGAAATACCTGATTATTAATCTGTATAACTGGTCTCTCTCTTTATAACCTTTCCCATGCGGAGGCATTATAAATTTTCAAATTAAATTCCAAACTCAAACCGGAAACAGACAGACAAACAAAGTATACAAATGTCTTGTTTTGCACCCGCTAAGTCTTTCTGCACTTTTCTTGTTCGGCACGTAGTTAATAACGTAGTTAATAGCTGATTGTAAATAGCACGTTGATTGTAAAGAACAATTAAAATACGATATAGAGCAATATAGTACGCTTATCCAAAGCATCAAATATATTAAAAAACATTAGTAATTTCTGTTAAAATATTTCTTAGCTTAAACGACTCGAGCAACGGTTGGTTTATCTCTCCATTAGCTAATTAATAGCAGACTTCAACTCTAACAGCAAATGGCAGTAGCGGAGAATGCAAAATTAGTTATACATACTTTCTGTGTTTATATATCCTAAAAGGAACCGAGTTGCAATTTTTTCATTTTTGGAATTGAAAGGGAACGTACTTTTTTTAATTTGGGAAACTAGCCCAAAACTATGTCAGCTCCAGATTCTGTAATTGCACGTAAGTAATAGTCAGTCTTCTCATATGCTAGAATTTTATATCAAATTAAAGCATATAACATTTGGGTAATTTTAACTTAATTTTTCCATCAATACGAGGTATGTTAAAAACTTAAATTATGGAATAAATGCGCAAGCCAGGCTGATAAATCTAAAGAAGGAAATGGATATGCATTTTTTATCAGAATAACTAACAACGTCTAAGTTATTTTATGGTCAGCATGTAACTTGTCAGAGATACAGTCAAAACTAATTATACAAGAGATTATAATTCTGATGTACAATAAGCTTTAATTGTGCGAAGCATATCATTTTTCTCCTTGGGGGAGGGGCGGCTTCTTGTTTTCACAGTGTCAATAATTTTTAATTAAGATTTTAGTGTGGTAATCATAATAAAAATTTTGTATGTGCAAGGAGAATATGAAAATTGCTCATTAACTAGCAAAAATGAAAAAAGTGGAAAGAGTTTTTACAAATCAAATATACAAATTCCGATTTATGATTTTACTGGATAATGATTAATAGAGCTAGGATTTATGTTATATAAGCTATATGTACTAAAGGTATATCTCGATCACTATTCTTCAGTAAACCGTTTGCATGTAAAAGAGCTGTATTATCTGTAGCTATATCATTATTGAAAATCCATAATGAAAAAGCATTCTAAGTAGGCATTTAACTATTTTATTTTGTTGCTAGAAATGGAATCTGTCTTAAAATTAGCAGTGTTTAATTCATTTATTATTTTTATTTTGTGATAAATATTTAGCATAAAATTAGTCAGTTGATACAAACATTAGGAAATTAGGCTTGTACATGAAAAACATAACTGATGAATGATTTTCTTAGCATTGATGTAAAAAATTTAATCTTGCAAAATATGAAATTAAAAATATTCATCAATAAGTGGTATGATATATTAATTATATACAGATATTTAAATGTTAAATGCTTTCTTGAATTATTTAAAGTAGTAGATTGACAGAGTAAGAGGGAATATACATCTTAAAGCAGGGGTCTGAAATTTTTAAAACTTTTATGCCACATAAATGAGAATCAAAAGCATATGTACCGCCATAAAAGTCTTTTTGATTAAAAATCATTGTATCATAAATGGAGAGTTTATAATAAGAAAAGCTGGCAGGCTTGTCAATTTAAAAAGTACACCAGGCTTAAATGTGGCCTGAATCTTTACCTCAGTAGAGACTTTCATTTTGTACTTTCCAATCATCAGAATATGACGAAGTGGCCTAAATGGTCATATTTTCTTCAGAGCGGGGCTGTATCAGGACCATACAAAGCAAAGTTCACTTAAAAAGAAAAGAAACAAGAATTTACCTTTATTCAGTAGCTTTAGAGTTTGGGGAGCAAAGTTCTCAAACTCTTGTATTACTTAACACTCCTGTATTAAAACTGGAGAATCAAAAACATAATACTCCTCTGCTTAAGTTACAGTAGGGTTCTAAGCATTCAAACCAGTCAGGACCTGTTCCCAGGTTGAATTAGCAAAAGTTTATACAGTCAAAAGTCGTTAATCTGAACTCGTCGGGACTTCGGCGATTCCGGATTATCAATTTTTCCGGATTATAGATCATCAGTTTAAATCGCGTAAGATGGCATGCAGAAATTCTAAAATTAAAAATATGAAACCGTAATTTATGAAATAATGAACAATCATGATCTAAAGGGTATCAAAATTTACAAAAAACAAAACAAAACAAAAAAAAAAAAAACTTAAGATTTATTTGTTTACTTTATTAAACGTTTCTTTCAATGCAAGTTGTTTAAGTTGCTTCGTTTTATGTGATAATACTTTCTCTTTAATCCTATAAATAGACATAATTTCTTGTTCAGTTACGAAGTTCTGCTGTTCAAGTCCCGTAATTGCTGTGCCGAGAATACCAACTAACTTGTCAATCGAAATTTTTTCGTTTTCACTAACCTTTCTGTCACCTTCTTCATGTCTTTATCCATTTTTTGCAGCAATTCCACTTTTTGTTTGATAGACATCGAAACATACTTTCGTTTTGTAGATCCTTTGGAAGCTCCAGCATCGGAAATTCTATTTGACATAATCAAAAGTTCAAAGTTACTTTTATAAAATTGCTCTTACAGTCTGCAAAATATAATAAGCCGGATCCAACTTGAAGATTAAGGAACAACGCAATCATCAACATTAACTGAAATAGATAATTAGATAATTTTAGCTTATACCGTCCGTTATACATAAAACACGCACGCGAAAATGTATTCTGCGCTTGCGCACATGCATATGCGCAGTCGTAAAGGTCTTGCACGCACACGTAAACGTCTATGCGCATGTGTCAACGCGGCACATGCGCAGAAAGTTTTTAGCTTTGAGGTTCGGGTTATTATATTTTTTACTCTTATTTTTGTGTATTTGTGTACCAACAAATCTATCAAAACCAGAAGCACAGAACAAACTGATGCTCATACATGAAGGTCAAAAGCCACATTACTTAAGTATGATGTGAAACCGTTACCATTTAGCACCATCTACTGGCATTTAAAAATTCAAATAAATCATTCCGTTTTCAAGTTATGTATATGCGATGCTGGGCTATAGAGATAGATCGGAGCTCTTTTGCATATATGCGACGCTGGGGTGATAGGCGTGGAATCATTGCATCGCGGACACTGTTCCTGAACGGATTAAACAAGAGGAAGATCACTAAATATTTCAAAACAGCATATCTTTAGAATTCCCACTAGAGTATTAGGAGTTGCAATGCATTTTTTTATATGCGCTATATTATTTCTCTGAAAACTTGCTTTAGCGGTCAGCCACCTAAAAGAGTTATAAAAAAAAGAAAAGTATATAATGATAACAGCTGGTGTCATTTCATAAAAATGTTTTATATTTCTAATTAGACATCTCATTGTTTAAATGCACTTTTATTTAAATTAGTGAAATTAAAAACATAGAAAAAATATTTTTAAAGAACTGTATATATTACTTTTTGATTACATTAAATTTGAAAGCTATGTTATGCTTTACTGAATGGCAACATGCTGAGGCATGGAGATAATAAGTATTCCATTTGAGGCAGTGGAAGTACATTTCTTTCAAATAACTGAATTTGTAGATTAAAACTGAGATGCATATCTTACATTTTACTGAATGGCAACAGTCTGGTGAGCTAGAGATAAAATGAAAAGAAAATCTGAAGCTTACAGTTTTCAAGGTGGCAATGTTCGAATAGAGGATTACATTATTAATTATTTGAAATTACATTATTTGATGTATTGAAAATTTGGTGGCTCTAGATGCCATCATTTTTCCACAATGTGAGGAATATACATACATGCATATATACAAGTTCTTCATTATTAATCTTTTTAAGTGTAATAACAATGGTTAGTGTCAACAATTTGAATTGTTGTTTGGACACAAAAATGATACTGACAGAAAGCGAGTTTTGAGATTTTATAGCAAGAACCTACTAATTAATGAAAGTAACCTAATTAAAGTGAAATAATTATCTTCATAAAAGTGCAGTCATTTTAACTCTGTGAGATCATTAAGAAGATTTTTGCGTTGATGAACCTTCATCAAGATACTCGACATTGTTATGTCTGAATGCCATTATGTTGTGCCTTGTAGTAAGAAAATAAATGATTATTTTGGTGTTGAAGTGGAACAGGTAGAATGAAATCCGTGAGAAGAGACTTAAAGAGCAATTATGGCTTCTATAAAACAGAACAAAGGTATATAAGGAAATATTCACTTCAAAATTTAACAAATTTATTGCCCCTGCTCTGAATTACAAATAAGATAAGGAAAAAGTTAAATTGAGCTTTAGTCCTGCAGATGTTTTTATTTCCTAGAGAATACTATTTGTTTATTATTTTCATATTCATTGTCCACAAATCAATGGCTTTCCACTCATTATAATTACACCACTTGTTATAATTCCATCTAGATACAAATAATGCTAAAAATGGCTGTTATTTTAGAAGAGTCGCTTCAAATCCATTATAATGCTAAAAATGGCTGTTATTTTAAAAGAGTCGCTTCAAATCCATTACCCTCCCCATCACCCTGAACAGTGGAACATAAGCATGTAATGAATGCTGTGGAAAAAAGTTTTAAGTCCTGTAATTTGTTAAAAGTCCCATAATTCAATCTGTGTCATGAGGATTGCTACAACCTCACGAGTGGTTATCTTTCTGGAAACTGTTAGTAGCAGGTAGGAAATGCAAACATTGATTAATTTTTCTTGCGATGAGATTAATTTTTTCAATAAAGTTTCTTCATTTGTTTGTACTAGGAATTAGATCTAATAACTCATTATATGCCAGCTACACAAATTTTAACAAACATGTAAATACGTAATATGTTTCTTATTCATATATTGCTTTTCTTTAACTTATGCAAAGCATAATTTTATTTGTAATATGAAGCATATATACTGTATAATTGTGTACATAATACTTATATTTCTTATATCTTTCAGTTCGTAGTTCAAGAGGCATCAAATTTTGCCATGGCCCACCTCTTGAAGGGGAATATAACAAATTTACAAAGTGAGTATAATAGGGCTTCTAACTTTTCGAATAAGAATAGTAACATATATATATATATATTTAACAATAAATTATTCTTTCATTCATATAAAGCTAATTTAAATTATGAAAATTCAATTGTATAATAATAAAAGATTAATTATTGCTGCAAACTAATTGCAATATCATTCAAATTCGGAAAGCATATGTAAATTAAGTACAAGTGTCTAAAAAGATGAAAAAATATTTAATAATCCAAAAAATTAATCTTAATAATTTTATGGTGCAAGAGAATTATTTAATTTTTTGCAAGAGAATTATTTAATTTTATTTAACAATAAATATATATATATTGTTGTGTGCATACGGGTTCATAATAGATTGAATGCACAAGTCCAGTAATAGATTAATAAAATTTATTCTTATCAAAAGAAATATAACAGAATGCGGGAATTGTCCTCAGAGGTATTCGTACAAGTGGTCACAATATCGCGCAATATAATCAGTAGTTATATTTCAGACTTCTAAAAACGTTAAAATAGAACACGATGCAAAGAGAAAGCTAATCCAATCTCTCATGGAACTCCCAACAATAACAACAACAGCAGCTAACTAAACAACTGAGCTGAGATGTTCTCTCGGTTACAGCTAACACAGTAGTCAATTACATTTATTCAATTTCAATACAAATTACCAAGATATCTATATATTCAATGTTAAATTCACATGCACCAGTATTTTTACTTTTCTGGCATAGCTTTCTCTTAATATTTGTCTCATGTTGCATTGCATGGGGGAATACAACAATTTTAATTATAATTCTACTAAAAATATTGAACTAAATACAAAATTCATAACAATATATAATACTGCTGCATAGATGATTAGAAATTCTGCCATAGCAAGTGACCGGATGGAATTTTGGAAGAAGCACGATCAGCTTGATAATTAAATATCATTTATTTTTGGATGACCTATTTCTTAGCTCATAGGTTCATAACTGGTAGAAGACTAAGGGTGCTAAATGTGCCCCACATTTTTACATATGCTATTACGTCTCAAATAATGGAGAATAGCTAGCAGAGGCTAAGCGACATGTTCTCAGCAGGATGGCAAAGTGGTGAAAGAAGGGAGACTATGCAGTTAGTTGCTATTCATATTAGAAGATTTCAGGTCTAAATTTCTAAATCGGAAGCATAGGAGTCCTATGTTAAACCATTAGGAATAATGCATAAAAATTGGTATGAACAAAATAATAATAATTAAAACACTAAACTATGAGATATTAAAGTTAAAATATAAAATACATTGGGATTACTATTAAATAAAGTAGATAAATAATCAATTAAATAAGTAAAAAATATTTGTTTGTTTGTGTTATCTTGTCCGGGACGGCATGGAGTAGAGTTTTGGGAAAGGTACCCCCAGATTCCAAAAATTCGTGGGAAGCCATTTCGACTATTCCCATCTTCATATGACTTAAGTAGCAGGGATATTAATTAAAAACTTTGAAATGCTAACTTTCACCCTCATTTTTCTGAGTGGCAACAGTGTCACACGCTGGAGATAAAAATCTGCTCCATTGTCACTGCTTGCTTTCAAATTATAGAGTTTGTTAATAAAAAATTTAAGTTTTAGAAAATATGGAATAAAAATAGTTTGCCAAACATTAAATATATTATTTTGGATTCCAAAAATTCGTGGGAAGCCATTTTGACCGTTCTCATCTTCGTACAATTTTAATCAGCTGAGATATTATTTAGAAACTCTGAAAACTCTAATTTTTACTAATTTTTCTGATTGGCAACAGTCTCGCCAGTTGCTGGAGATAAAATTGTTTTATTTCAAAAAGTGTTACTACTGCTCGCTTTCATTACAAAATATGAAATATAAATAGCATTGCCAAACATTAAGTCTGTTATTATTATATAATGTTATATTCGGACACTGTAGAAAGTACAAGATTGCAAGTGAATGTCATTCTGTGTCAAAAATTTTTCGTTAATATCAGCATTTTAAATAAATAGCTGATACTGGGAAATTGAATTCGATATGTTTTTGCCACATTAATTCATTTATTGATGTTAAGAAAAAAGCTGTTATATTACACTTAATCACGACGTCATGCGTGGTTTGAAATGCTTTTGTTTCTTAGTTTGGCAACAAAGGAATTATTTATGAATTGGTTGTTGTTTGGAAAGAATGAACTTATTTCATTCATACTGAAATGTTTTTAATATGTTTTGTTTTCAGGTGCATTTATTTTTAGTGCATTTTAATAATTCTATGTACAAATATTTAATTTCTTTTGTTACATATTTTCTTTTTGAGTTTAAACTTTTGTAGGTATTAAATGTATTTAGTATATATATATATATACAGTGGTGGCCAAAATTGTGGACACTTTTGGAAATTTTATGTTTTTAAACTTTGTATACTTAAAGAAAATGTTACGTTTCGCAAAATGCAAACTTGTATATATCATTTTAAAGAGAATTTATTATTGAATTCAATACAAAACACAAAATTCAATTATTTGCAATACAAAAAAGTTATATGTACTTTAATATAAATAAAAAACACAGTTATGAAGTGGTTTGTAATGTCTAGCTTTCCTGGCCAATCGCTGTTCTTGTTCTGAGAACCAATCAATGTTAGTAACTGCCAGTAGAAGCTGACATCATGTTTCACTGAAACAATTCATTATTTTCCTTTGTTCTGTAGAAGGAGGACCTTTTCTTATACACCCAATTACAAGTAGGAATTTTTGTAAAAAATTTTAATATTTAGTCAAGAAGCAATGACATCAAATAAAAGATTAGATTGAACACCTAGAAAGAGATGTAATATTATTGTGTTACAGAAAGTAGTCTTTCCTATGCTGAAACTGCAAGACAGGTGGGTGGTTCAGTGACTACATCTGGAGTCCGAAAGTTTTGTTTACGATATCAGGAGACAAATTCAATAAAAAACAAAAAAGGAAAATGCCGAAAAAGGTGCACCACATCTATTGATGATAGAAGAATAAAAAGACTATGTCTCCAAGATAGAAAAATGTCATCAGCGGCCATCAGAAGTGATCTGAATGATGCTGGTGTTTCTGTCAGTTCAAGAACAATCAAAGAAAGATTACAGATGTTGGACTGAGAGGGAACTCCACGAAAAAAGCCTTATCTTAATTTTCAGCACGAAAAAAAAAAAACTACAGTGGGCAAGGAACACATTAATTGGACAGATGATCAGTGCTCACAAGTATATGGGTGATGAAACTAAATATCATTATCGGTATGATGGGCGAAAATATGTATACGTAGAATAGGAGAAGAGCTATATCCTGACTGCATTCAAGCAACTGTGAAGAACCCAGTTATTGTTTTGATTTGGTCATGCATGTCAGCAGATGGTATTGGTCGCCTTCGTCATCGATGGGACACTGAATGCCAAAAATACTTGACTCATTCTAGAACCAAAATTTCTACCTTCCATCAAGATCTCTTTCCAACAATGCAATGCTTCGTTTATTTTTTAAGCAGGATTCTTCCTTGCCACACGGCCAAATATCGAAAGAGTGGTTTCGTACAAAGAGCATTAAATTGTTTGTCATGGCCAGGAAACAGTCCTGACCTCAATTTTATCGAAAATTTGGGCCACTGTTTGAAAACTCGTCCGAATGAGGCGCCCATCAAATAAAAGGGAACTAATTGAGGCTATAATTTTTTCCTGGCATCATGTAATAACGAAAGAAGAGTTTAAAACTCTTGTCACTCAATGAAACGTCGTGTGAAGCTGAAAAAATACCATAATTTCCGGAAGAAAGGCCCGCATCAGTAACGCCGTACTCGAAAAATGGCGGGAAAAAATTAAAATACACAGAAAACGCCGCATCAGCTAAATGCCGCATAGATTAAATTGGTGCGTGATCGTCGTGGGCCGTATAGATGCAACTCAGTCCTGATATATGACATATCGTTAAGTTTTTAATAATGAACTATAAATAATATTTTTATTATCGATGTATTGTTTTTTAAAAGATTTACAAGTCTTAAGCTTGCGTTCTGTTGTGTTAAATATATTCTCTTCATCTTAAATCTTCTGAAGTTTAAATAGATAAACGCGATTAAAGGTAAATTGTCTATTGCCCTCTATCAGCAAACCGAAAAAACTGCCTAATATTTCCCTTAAGTACCGTAGAAACTAGGCATCCACCTTAGCATCTTTTGAACTTCCCAATGTAACAAACATATAGTCCACTGCCATGCATTCCTCAAAACCATTCTAACTCCCCTACTCCCGATGAAAATATATAATCGTCTCTCTCATAGGCGCTGTTTGGGATGTAGACGCTAGTCTTAAAACTATCTAACAAGTACTTGTACCCAACTGATGGATCTGTATCTGGCAGAATGCCAAGAAAAATCCATCATGCTGAAGGAAATACGTCAGAGTTCGTTCTTGCGAGGCAGGTGAGTCCGTTCCGCCTTTGAAAAAAATTGCAGAAGGGCAGGGTGGGAGAGGATGGTCCTGGAAGATTCATCGAATGGCAGAGGGAGAGACTATTCGAACTGATGAGAATGTTGATTTGAAGGGGGGAATGTTCTTGTTCTGAGATCTCGTTTATTGTGAATAAGGCACTAGGTCCGTTAGGGAAAGAATGTAGCAAAATAACGTTCGCAAAAAGCAACTGAGTGGTCTTTTGTGTGGGAACGCACCAGTCTATGCACAATGACAAGCATCCAAACTATGTACACGGCCCATCATAGGAACTTTTTATTTTTAGTGCACCTAAATGCCGCACCCGCTGAAAATTTAAGTTTTTAAACGCGTAAACGCCACGGCGTTTCTTCCGGAAATTACGTAATGGTGCCCTACAAGTACGATAACTCACTGCATCATCACTATCTAATGTATATCGATAACTATTATCGTTTACTTTTTTTGTATTGCAAATATTGAATTTTGTGTTTGTATTGACTTCAGTATAAATTCTCTTTAAAATGATGTATACAAGTTGCATTGTGAAACGTACGTTTTCTATAAGCATACAAATTTCCAAAACATAAAAATTTCCAAGTCTCCACAATTTTGGCCACCACTGTATATATATAGAGAGAGATTTTAGTATTCATTTAAATATAATTTTAATGGGCATATATTATTATTGTTGCTGTAGAGCTTCAGGTCCATTTTACTGTATAATGTTCAGTATTGATAAAACTGATTTTCATTTTAACAGAGATGAAAATTCATCTTGCAGAGATATGACGTTTACCAAAGATGGTAGCTTGTTTGCATGGTGTACAATTCAAAGGTAATTGTATTTATTTTTAGGTACATATATAGAATTTGTATATGTAATATGTATATTTGTATATGTGTAAATCTACATCATTTGTGAGTGTGTTCAGTAATTTAATTATGCATAGACATTAACTCTCCCTCTACAATATTTTGTAAAGCTAGTAATTATGCCACTGTTCTGTACTGAATTAAGTTTTTTATGAAAAGTAACTTAGCACATTGAAACTAGAACTTCTTATCCCACTGCTGCATTTATTTTAATTGATATCTTTTAGTAGAAAAAATATTTAAAAGAATATATTTTCTTAATCCATAAACTAGTATTGCCAATTTTGTTACTATTTTCATCTTTATTTCATGTATGTTTCATGTGTTACTCAAAAATATAATGCTTAACCCTTTGACATATAATGGCATCTGGAACGTGTCATTTATTATTAATGTTAAAGCAGATTTTGATGATCTCAACCATCATGAAATTACAGTCCCTTCAAAATGAGTTTGGATTATAAAGTATGAAATTATATAAAGTTATTATATATATATGTTAGCGGTGAAACACCGAAATCTGGAGAATGCCGACTTTGACCAGCGAATGTCAACATTCACATAGTCGCTTGGCGTATGTCCGAAATCTTTCCAATACTCTTTTTCGACTTACACAGTAACTTTCGCATTCACATGTACTAATGGTGAATGATGAATATATACGAATATTATATTTCTTCTCCTTAATTCAGTCGTGAAAAAATGCACTTGAGACTTAAATAAGAACTTAAACACACAGTACATTCAAAATGAGAAAGAAAAAATAGAAATAAAAACCAATTAATGTGATTCAAATCTTATTTATTCAACAACTAAACTGTTAGACACTTTGATGCACAAGAGGCCCTGCTTTTCACTCCATTTATTTGTCAATACTTCTTTTGCAATGACCAGGATATATACTCTCTCTTTCACCTACACCAGCATCTGTGATTGTCGAAACACCGTGAGGGTTTGAGTGTACAAGAATGCAATATTCGATCTTTCGCTGACATATTTTGCGAATGTTGACATTCTCCGGTGAATGTTTTTATAGTGTTTTCCTATGATTTGTTAATAAGTTTTGTTCCTATAATTTTTAAGCCCATCAGCTTTGAATTTTATTTGTATGTCAAGGGGTTAAATATGCCAGTATTCACTTTAGGGTTGGTATTGTATTCGCAAAATTTTTTGTGGTATTAATAATTATCAGTATGTTTTCTTTCCTTTTGAACACACATGTATACTATTACGTGCATAGAGGTTCTTAATGGAATGAATGCACCCAGAACTGACGATAACTTGATAAAATTTATTTTTCCAGAAGAAACACTTTACAGTTCTGGAACTTTCCACAAAAGTACTCATACAGCTGTTCTCAGTATAACAGAGCACAATCAGTATTCACCACTTCTACTAAGAACGTTAACCCGCGAGCACGCCTGTCAAAATTACGAACACAAGAAGGCGCGCTGGGTATGTCATACCCGAAAGAAATTAACACATTTTAAATTGCATTAATTATATAACTATCAGTATAAATATGGATTAACATATAAAACAATGGACTTTGGTATATTTTAAAGAATATAATAAATGAAATACTTTTTTTACAACTAATTTGCTCATCTCTGGCAGATTGAATGCATGTGCTCCATACAAATACTGATATTACATTTGTTGTACAGAAACCGTGTTTCTCTGTCCTTGTTTTTAGAGTACTCAGTGCATCTTTTGTAAATGTGTTTCATCTGTTTAGATGTTGCAATTTCCTGAAATTATTCTTCCTTTGCTTTCAAAGGGAGCATGATTTGCTGCCACCGTTGATTTATGTAATCTTCCACTAACTTCATTCCTAATAATTTGAGAAAAGAATGCATGTTTCTAAACTGGGTTGGTGGTTCTTTTGTAGAAAGTAATTATTCATGCATTAATTGCCGCAACGTTTAAAATCGAGAAAAAAAATCACCATGGGCCACCGTTTCGATATGCTAGCTGTAGAATATGCTGTTCCCACTTCATCTACTGTTCCTTTGGTTAAATTATAAAATGAAATAATCTCTGGCTTTTTTAGTACTCCAGTGGTTTCGTCAGTTTTCCGGAGACAAAAAAATGAAGTATAGTATATGCTTCCCATTTCTTCATTAGAAAATACGGCGGAATTTCTCTTTTATTCTTTCTCACAGTTCTGCCTATAGTTATTTTCTTTCTTAGTAGAAAAAAACTATAGTCGGAATGCATTAATTTTGAGATAGCTGGTATCCCAAATGTCAATTATCTCCGTCCAAAATTGTACAGTGGTTCCATCAAACGCTTTACAATAGCACTTACATTGTTATCAAACTGAAACAGGCTCTTTGGCTGTTGGCCAGCATATATTTCCATTTTTCGTCTGTAAAATACTCTGGATTCAACCATTGCAAATATTTTCATGTCATATTTGGGAGGTTTTTTTTTTTTTTTTTTTTTTTTTTTTTTTTTGGTATATATTGCCTAAATGGTTCTAATTTTTCATCAGTTGTTACATATTCACCTCCATTGTAGACTTTCCGACAGTTCTCAATGAATTTTTCAAAAAACTGTCTTATGTGAGCCAGTTTATCCACATCTTTTCTACATAGACAATCTCGGATATCATCAAATCAAAGGCATCTTAGTAGGAAAAGGAATCGCTTGCAGGACGTTGTTTTGTGGAAAATATCCATTCCAGTTCCATCTTTTGCATTGCCTGAGTGGATTTGTGAACATCACATATATGCAAAAGTCCCAAAAGTGCTTTGATTTCACATTCATCCATTTTCTTTGCATCACTTTCACATACAAACTTCTCCTGTGTAGAATCAGTGTAAATATTTGTACATTGAATTATCATTTCTATCATGTCTTTGTTGATTAGCAGAGACCAGGAATCTAATGGTGTTGATGCATCTTTTGAATAACTTGTATTTTCTGGAATTTTGAAGATAATGTTTTTAGAACTAGTCCTAACATTCACTCTGAATTTTTCTTTCATATCAGGCCATTTTTAACAATCATTTGATTCATTTTCTAATTCACTATCTAATTCAGTGTCTGTATCACTCTCTGTTCATGAATTATGATTGCTGGTGTATTCTTCATCTATAAATTCTTCCTTTTCACTTAATGATTTGTCATCTGTTGAAATGGTTTCTAACATATTTCTCAACCTTTCCATTTCTTTATTATGACTTAGATGCTGCGCCATGCTGACTAAGAGAATGAGGATGAAAATCTGAGAGCCGCGAGAAGGCGCTCGGGTGTCACATACCCCAATGGAACTATTCCTAAAAAAGTATTAAAAGAATCACTCCATGTACTTCCCAGCTTCAAGAATGTGACCTTAAATTCAGCTACAAAAGGTTTCGTTCATTTCCAGGAAAGGTGGGTGGAAATAAGAGACATAGAATATGGCCCAGGGTATGAGGTGCTCGCAGGTTAAGCACAATGCAAAGTGCATCTGAAGAAGGAAGTTCACATTACTCTTAGTATTCCTCTCAACTCTGAAATAAAAGCTGAGTGCTGATGCTTTCTTTAGTCTTATATAGTATTTTCCCAGTGCTGAGAAATCTCTAGTACTTTCCATTTCTCAATTATTAGAAGGCATATACAGTTAAAGTTATACAAGGGCTGTATGCAGTTCCAGATACATATAGTAATCAGTTACAGGCGTACAGGAACTGGAGCAAAATATCATGAAAGGGTCGACAAGTTTGGCAATTTCTTGTCAAATTTGGTGACAAAAATTAGTGTCTCAAACCATCACCAGCTTGGCATATCCATTCACCTCAATGACTTGCCCCCTGTAACCTTATTTTTCTAGCAGAGCTTTGATTTTTGAAGAACTTTGTATTACATTATACAAAAGATACTGCAATTTTATGTATAATTTCACTAAAATTATTTTCTTATATACAAAATTTGTAACATTACATATAGATAATTTTATAATATATGATAAAAATATAAAGACAAAACTGAAATAAGCAGATTTTTTAGTGGAATATGTATAGAAATGCTGCGTTGATATTGGTACGTGAAAGTTGTAAATCATCGTTTCCCATGTGGGATTTGAGCAGTATACATTACTAAGCAAATGCCGGGTTCTATGATCCTGATCTTTTTCCTTCTGGGAGGGGGAATCTTAAAAGGATAACCTATGAAACTCGTTAGCAACCAATTTTTCACCAAGCTAATGCGAGCAAGTTAGCAGTCATTTTGAAAATGGTAGTGCACTAAAAATTCCATAAAAAAACAGTGAAATAATTAAAGAGAAAAAAATGATACCCATCATAAAACTCTTTTAAAGAAAAAAAAAAATTTTTTTTGGGGGGGGGTACGGTTACTCTTCGTGATTACACAGCAGTCTGTTTTCTCTTAATAGAAATCAGATAATTGCACAAATCCGGATTTGTGCATGCTATTGTTTTCCCCACAAGTGCAGTAATGTTTTCATCTGAAAAAAAAATCAGAATAAGTTTGTCATTGTGTGCAGATTTCAATGGTTAAAATTCAATCATTTAATGAGTACAACTTGGATATTTTAAATCCTGAATGTGGGAAGAGGGTGTCCATTTGTTGAAATGAATTTCTACAAAACAGGCATTTAAGTTAACATAGTAAAATATCTGATTTATGGTCAAACATATGTAAAAATATGGTTTTTAATTAATTACAAATTAATACAATTAATTAAAAATTAATACAATTAATTAAAAGTGTTCTAATTTTATGTTTTAATGTGTAAATAATTTATATAATTAGTCTCTTTTTATGTACATAATTTTTAAATATTTATGACCTGTGAATAGTTTTATAATAATTATCACAAATGTGAAAACTAGTAGCTAGTGTGAAGCTAGTACAACTGCCTTTTAACATGTTTATGCATAGCACATATAAACACATTTTATGATTTTAGTACCATGTAAATTTTATTTGCACAAAATAATTTATGTAAAAATT